GCATCATAGTTGATTATCATTGGCAAATATGTATTAACATGTAAGAATCACTTCACTCTAAAAGGTCAAGCCCCAATTTTAACATTAGTGAAGTGCACAAACCCAATCTTCTCATAGTTGAGAGATTCTAGGGTTAGTCCTCTAAAAACCTTAACATTGAGAGGAATTCCTAGGTTAAACCATTAAACTTAGTAATAATATATTATACATGAAATCATACATTTAACAAAAATTGCAATGCAACTCTAAGACTTTGAATTTTTGGAAGAGAGAATCAATAACAAATTTCCTATCAATTTTGGAATGTATTGAAGTGAACTCTTTTTTAAAATTCAAACCCTTGAAATTAACAATCCCTAATGCATTAATTATCCCTGAATTATACAAATTCTACAAAGGGACATGTCACATGTCAATATTGCCTATAAGATAGAGCTTACATCCAGTAATGGGCATCACATGAGGATGATGATGAAGAAGAAAATTTATATTTGCAAAAGCTTCACATGGCCCAATAAGAGGTCAATGAATATCCATGCCATGAATGTCTTCACAATTACATGCAAACAATGAATCTCATTCTTCAAAAAAAAAAAAAAAAAGAACAAAAGAACAAAAGAACAAAAGAAAGAAAGAATAGCAACAACAACAACAAAATCAAGCCACTTTTTTCTTTTTAAACCAAAAGTGGCAACCCCCATAACAAGAAAAGGACTCATTGCTTTCATTGGATGCCTCTACCCAGAATTTTATTTTTTTATTTTTTTTTAAAAAAACATCATTTTCTTATTCTTCTAGTGGCAAATTATATCCCTTTGATATAAGTCCGAGTGAGAGACTTCAAGAGATGCAAACAACTTCAAATATATATATATATATATATATATATAAATGTATACCTGGTTTTTAATTCTAGTTCATCGTTGTCCTCTCTACTTGCTTGTGAATGGAAGTAGGGGGCCAATTCTGCAACTCACCATGAGTAGTTGTGAGTACCTTCATTCCCTTCTGCAGTTGCGTGCTTGCTTAGCTTAGCTTGCTTTGACCTAACTTAAGGAAATGGGCCACCCACTTGGCTCTTGAATCACAAGCCCACAAGAACCACCACAGTTTTGCCATCACTAGCAGAAAAAGAAAAATAAAAGAAAATAAAATAAATGATACCTATTATCCCTCTCATAATGCTTGCTTGCACACCCACTCACTCACCAGAGGAGAGATTACTACTCACTGTCCCAACTCACTCAAATTAGGGTTAGAAATCCCACAACTAGGAAATAGTGCTTTTGCAATACAATGTCCAAGTTCAGCTGCGTGGATTTATCATCATCAATGGAGTTGAGTTTGAGAGGAGTGGGTTTGTTAGCACCCATTGTCCTCTTCAGCTTGAAGAACACTGAGTGCGCAACAAACACCAAAAAAAAGGAGAAAAAAGAAGAAAAAAAGAGAGAGGTATCATGTTACACACAAGGTGGTGGATTTCATCATGTATGGTGTCAGATGCAACATCATCAAAAAAAAATCTTTTTGCTTTTTCTTTCATGTGTACTTTTAGTGTTTTGACACACCACACTTTGTTTCTTCATGTGGGTTACCCTTGGTCACCCTTAAGCTTAATCAAGGTTAGCAAACACCCACCAACAAAACACACATAATACTTTAAATCCTTGAGTTGAACAAACATGTAAATACAGATATTCATCACCTACAGTAGTCATCAACTCACACACACACACACACCCCAGTTGTGAAGGGTGTTCTTGTCCACATTCTGCTGTCCATATTGCCACAACTTCTACTACTATTATAACAACAACAACAACAATATACTGTCTCTTGCGCATTGGAGTATAGCTTCTGATTGATGCCAGGCAAGGCAGGAAAGGCAGGCAAAAGCAGTCAGCAAGGCAGTCTCTGTGTGGATAAGTGGAAAAAAAAAAGAAAAAGAAAAAGAAAAAAGAGTTATTTATTTGTTTGTTTTTATTTTTTTATTTTTTTCTTTCTAATTTGGACATTCAAGTGCTGCACTCTACTGTCTTGAATAAGTAAACTTTTTGAGAATAATTCATCTGAATCATGAATAGGTTTTTATGTTTATTTAATGGGTTAGTTATGAAGATGAATAATTGCAGGAAATTCTTGTTGGTTATGAAAGTTTGGGTCGTTCAGACTTTTGAGTTATGAATGGAACTCTAGAGGTGTATATTAAAGGCTTTGGAGGAGGAGCCTCCACTTTGCATGTTGTAGTAATTGTCAGCTAAAATTTTGGATTATTCAAAACTGTTCGTCCTGATTGCGATTTCCTCCACTTACTTCTGAAATGAAATATTAAAATTGATTTTGTTGTTCTTATTTATTGAATGGGAATCTGTGACCTACCATTCAATTTCCCATTAAATGAATAAGAACAACAATTTCCTATTAAAAGTTAAAATTTTAACCATGAGTTTATATATTTACTTATTTATTTCTGTGTTCATCTTGTGTTTGATTTTCTTTTTTCGGATTGAAAGGTTTAGGTTTTACATTTCAAAATTTTGGTAATGATTGTAATAAACTGCGAGAAATTAAATTTTATACTTGAGTGTAGAAATAATACTTGAGTCTAAATGTTGCATAACTAGCAAAAACAATTTCATCACATCGCACAAAAATAGTTGATGCAAATCACAATTAATTTCCAACTCAAAAATATCTCAATTTGGTATTTAAATTCAAATAACTCTCTTTAATATTTGTCCCCTGAAAATATCTCAACTTTCCTTACTTTTGATATTTATATCTACATACATCTACTGGTACACTTCCATACATGAAGTCTGCATAGATTGGTAGGGAATTCACATACCTTTTTTTTTTTTCATCAGAACCTCTGTGTGCATGTGTTTTTCTCTCTAAAAAAGTGTTTTTTCCATTCAAAACCAAGGTTGGATTCCATGAGGGTGTGAGAGCCAGAGGAAGCCTAAGAAACCAAGGCAAAGGGTGTGTGTGTGTGGGAGAGGGAGAGAGAAAGTGCGAGTGTGGGAGAGTGGGTTGGTGGTCCCAAGCAGAGCAGAGTAGTAGTAGAGGGATCTACAACCCCCAGTAAACAACAACAACAACAACAACAACATGACAGATGGATGGGGAAGAATGATAGTAGATAGAATGGATAATGCTGTAGCACTAGCACCCACCACATTTTCCACAAAGGAGGAAGGGGCCTACCCTCGTAGAATGCTGTCGCAGAAACCTCCTTATTCAATAGACTGGCTTCGCCATCGTGGCCCGTCGGATCGTAGCTGCCGCTCAGATGCAATCTGAACCGCTGATCGGATTTTTGGGAATGGAGGGATGGAAAGTAAGGGAACCAGCGGGCGGGCAGGTTGGAGGACGGGCAGGTTGTGAACTCAGAAGCCATTCCTCATTTGCCCCCCACACTGATCCACATTGACATACATGGGTGTGCTGAATTTTGTTCAGGGGCTGCCTCTCAATCCCACTTCTTAACCATCACTCTTGCTTCAACCTCGGGGACAACCAAGTAATCATAAAAATAATAACATAAAAAGAACCCACAAAGGTTTTTATATTACTCTTATTTATTTTAATTTTTGATTTATCTGAACTATAGCTTCTTTTCCGAATATTATTCTAATCAACATGTATCACTAAACTAATGATGTTTCAAAATGTATTTTTTTAATTTTTTTAATTTTTTTAATTTATATACAACATTTTTATAAAAGATAACAATTAACCTATTTTTTCTATGTGTGCATGAATGTATGTATGTATATATATATATATATATATATATAGATATATAGATATATTAATTTTTAAGTATAAAATGCATAAAATATTGATATTAAAAACATATATCTTATCATGTTATATATATATATATATATATATATATATATATAACTTGAAAAAAAATCCATTAAATGAGACTTGGGAACTTCTTTGATTTATATTATATGTATATGCAAACATAAATTTTTATTATTTCTTCAATCGTATTATCTTATTTACTTCTTTTGAGGTTATTTAAATTATATATATATATATATATATATATTATATTATATTTAATGTTATACAAATGTCTTACAATGCTACAAAACAAGTTTGCAACTTAGATCTCTTCCAATTTCGAATGTTTAATACAAATTTGATCCTACGTTTCTTCAGAAATTCTTCTATTGCATCCATTTGTAATGCTATTTTAATTAGAGCTTATACTTCTAAAAAATAAAAACAGTCATGATAAGATTAAATAAAAATTTTGAAATTTTAAAAATTAGAAAATCCATGAATTATCTAACATGTCATCTTAATTTTAAATAGTTCTATTTATTCTTACAAGTAAAGTTTACTATGTCCAAGGTATATCTTGATTTAAATTACCTCTTTTATATAGTCTTATATGTTATTTATTTTTTATTTAATTATTTTTTAAATAATTAAAAATAAATTTTTTATTGAATTACTTTAAATCTATAATTATATTTATATATATATTAAACAAAATTCAGCGCCCAAGTGAATGTGAATGAGGAACAGTGCCGGGGACGAATGAGGAATGGATTCTTTCCCAACCTGCCCGCCCTCCAACCTGCCCCCCCGCTGGTTCCCCTACGTTCCCTTCCTCCGTTCCCAGAAATCAGATCAGCGGTTTAGATTTCATCTGACCGGCAGCTACGATCTGACGGCCCACGATGGCGGAGACAGTCGATTGAATGAAGAGGTTTCTGCGACACGTAGTGACAAGGGGGGAGGGGGGTGGTGAATGATCAGTTGTTCATCAGGCGGGCGTGGATGTCAGGGCAAGACGTGGTGGTAGATTCTCTTGGTCTCCGTGTAACTTCATTGAGTGTGTATGCAAGTGTGTATGTGTGTGTGTATGTGTGTGCCGTGGCAGAGGTGTCCCATCGTCTCTTTGCCACTGTCACTGCAAGAAAGCAACCAAGAGATAGAGAAAGAAAGAAAGTGTGACAGCTCAGTTTCATGTAACATCTCACCAGTCGCTGCTGCCTGCTGCTGACGTTCTTTGTAGTTGTTTAGTGTTGTGATGGTAGTCCCAGTTTGTCTGCACCCTCACAAAAGGGAATGTAGCTGGAAAGCCTAGCTCGGCAGCCATCAACACCGCCAACGACCTTGAACTTCCTGTTTCTCTCTGTCTCTTTCTCTCATTCCTTGCATGTTGACAGTGCTAAATCGCTCCTCCCCACCTCACCTCATGTCCAGCTTCCACTAGTTTTTTCAATTTCTCATTCCGGCCTTGCAGTGTTTTTTCTCGTTTCGATTCAGGGTCCTGGTTCCCTGCTTGCTTGAGTGGATTGGTCGCCGGAATATTATCCTGGCATCCTCCTTTGGTGCTGCTGCATCACAGTGGGCTCGCCGCACTCAGCGCTGTAATTGGTTCTCCTGTGCCTGTGCGCATGCAGAGGGATACCGTGGATTCTTGCTTCAGTGCGTGTGCATGTACATTCGCTTGGTAGGGTGTTCGCTTGGTTATCCATTTCCCCCCTCGATTAGTTTCTCGGAGCATGCCGATTGATGGCACATTTTAGATTGCAATCTGTAGCTGGGATTTAGTGACTGGGTTTTGGTTCAAGAGAACGGCAGTGTTTCCGTCCACCTCCAAGGAGAGCATGCCTGACATTTTTGATGTCAAGAATGCGGATCGCGTTTGGAATAGTGCGACTAGTCTTTCTCTTTCTTGAGCGTTTTTAGGCTACTATTGCTGCAAGTGAGAAACTGCAGTTGGCCAAAGTTGCTTGAATCCGGATCACCTATTACAGTCATTGAAGAAGGGCCTTTTTTGCCTGGCAGAGGAGGTGCCTCTCCGTCACACTCTTTTCTTCTCGTCTAATGTCGTAGCTTCATTTGTGAGAGCTACAACATTTGATCATTCATTTGTGTAAGAATTTTCCATAGTGATAATAAAAAGTATCTGCTGCTGCTATTGCACAGATAGAATATCACGTCTTTCACTGATACAGTTTTAGGTGCTAACCAAGAATCTGCTGTTAGTTCTTTGGGATCTTGAGTTCATTCACAGTTCTTCAAGAAACTGTTATCGTTGCGATGGTAATGTTGTGCTTTTAATTTCTTGGAGGTATGAAGAAAATTTACCCTTTGTGAATTGCTCTGTTTGTATCATTCAGAATCGACCTGCAATGAGGGAGGTGTTGTGTCTGTTGCTTCTGGCGTGTTTCTTTTCAGGTATGCTAAAAAAATAGGCTTCCCTGTGGCAACCCGTCATATGCCAGTTACTTTTCATTTTAAAAATCACCTGAAAGCTCATTTCTTCGAATCGGTGAAATAGTGTATCAGTATAACTCAAAATGGTCCAAGTTTTCTAGCAATAACCTATGGATTTCACATGATCATTTTCTCACAAGTTGAAACCAATGCGTTAAGTTGCACTGATTTTGCAATTATGTTGTCATGCATTTAGGCAAGACTGCTCTTGTTCGTGAACTTCACCAACCCCAGGTTAGTATTACTTTGGCGTTTAATGCAGTATCACTTGATGACAATCACAATCAGTTGAGTTTTTGGGTTGTTTAAACCATCTGATTAAAAGAAAATGAGAGATTTTATCATTGTGGTGGAGATAAAATCCTTGGTTTGATAACTTGGTTCACAAATTAGCCCTCAAATATACTAACAGCATAACACTAACAGGTCAGCCATCCGTTACTAAATAGACAAGGTTAACGTTCAATGTGAGTCTCAAATTGTGGACTAACTTGCATGTAGATTTGACAATGATCTTTCAGACGATCAGTATATACAGAATTTGCTTAGGTAGGGTTGAAACTAATTATTAAGATTAATTGTGACAGTCTTGAATTCAATATCTTTGAAAAGACAAAGATGTGAGCAGCAGCAAAACATTTCCTTACACTCAATAGGGTCCACGGGCACGTCGTACAGGTCATAGTCGAGCCTGAAATGGACATCACAACACTCACCGGCGATACAATCGTCCTTACAAATGGAACGACGCTCCAGATTGCTCCAACTGCGACTCCTATCTACAATTTCCACAAGAATTTACACAGTATTCACGGACGGAAGCTTGGAGACTTTAGGGAGTGCTCGCCGTGCACATGCTGTGACTCCAGCCGGCAATGGTGTTTACCCACCTTGTGCTGCTACCACATCAATTGTGGAGTTCGAGACCTGCCCTTTGGCCTGTGCTCCTTCACTCCTATTTCCTGTTCCTGTCTAGGTTGCAGAGACTAATTTTGCTCTCATTTCTCTCCTGGAATGCGTCACAGATAGTTGATGGAGTTGATATCATCTTGGTGCCCTCGGAGAATTGCATGAGATGCTCAATAAGCAAGCGTCTCGAAATGGAGAAGTTTCATTCGTTTTATTATTATTATTATTATTATTTTATAAAATTTTATAAAATTAGTTTAATGCAAATCTTTTGCATTCAAATCATCGTTTTATTGCTTCAAGTGTGTCTTTTTCAAACTTGAATTTCAATGATTTGCTAGCCGTTCCGCCAGATGTTCATATCTTTCAATACAAATCATCTCTTGAGGGAAGTAAATTAATCCAAGTCACAAAACATAATATTTAGCACCCAGTTGTGGAATACCATTAGACTTTACCAGGCGTTAAATTTTAAATCCTATACTTGGTCCAACTACAATTTGCAAATTCTACTGGTGCAGTCTAATTAGAAAAAACATAATCAAAATCCAAGCTTTGGCTTAGAATAAAGATGAAAATTTGAAGTTGGTTTAAAATTGATATTCATCTAAATGATGTTTTGGGCATATCTAATAGTTTCGAGTATGCTTGTAATTAGAGACCTTAATCCAAAGGAGAAAGGTATAGAAGGTTAAAGAGAGTCCAATCCAAGGAGGGAGGATAAAGAAATCCATGCAATTTTCTAATCTTAACAAAATTAAAAATTGTGGTGATGTCCACTTATTATTATAAATATCAAATATCAAATATCAAACTTGGGACTTCAAAGGCGCCAAGACTTTTCTCTTACCACTGTAACCAATATTTTGGGCACTTGGTTTTAGATTAAAATATAAAAGTATTTATAAAAATAAGAGGATGCCCCTTTTCTATTAGCTTTTTGAAGATAGTTAACTAGACTATATGGATGAACTTTTGTAGAGTTATGTTCATTAGTTTGCAAAGTCTAAGAATTGTTCTACCAAACCAAAGATTGACTTTTTTTATTTTACAAACATGTTTCATACTATAACTTTATTGTGTGAGAAATAAGTGTTTTTTATATGAAATTTACAAAATGCAATTAAATGTATATACAAGTTGATAGTGAGAATTATTCTTGTAATAAAATAAATAATGATAGTGATATTCTAAAAACGAATTATACAATAAAGCTAAAATAATAAATTGAAGAATGATTTATAAAAAATTAATGTGAATTAATTCTCTTGAAATGAATACAAGCATCATTGGTGCCTCTTAATTCTAAATCATATGTAATATAAGGTTTAGTGCCATTGACAAGAATTATGCATTTGAATCTTTATCTTGTTTACTAGTTGTTTTAATTGTCAATCAATTAATTATATTTTATTATTATTAATTGCTACTCTTAAAAGAAATGCATTTTTAAAAAATAGATATAAGAAATATTCTAATGGAAATGCATATGTGGAGAATTTAACTTAGTAATAGATTTTTCGAAAAGTTTTTTTTTCATATCTATTTTCTTGTTTTGTTGTCTTTTGCTAGACACACTATTTTAGAACTTATTAAATTTTTTTAACTTGCAATGTTAGGATTATTATTGATGTGTTTATTTTAAAAAGTTTATAACTATCATATTCATTGTTTGTATATTGTACACATTTTTAAAAATCATTATATATTACTTTATGTAATTTTTAAAAATAATGATCTCAAATTCAAAATTCATAAAGCTAAATGCAATCATTTTTATCTTAATATACTATACTACATATGTTAAATAAAATAAAGTCACATAGCCTTGCTCAATAGAAAAAAAGCATTTGATGATTGTTTCTGTAAACTTGAATTTGAACTGATGTTGAATTTGCCCATAGAATAAGGAGTACATGCACGTGACTGCTAAAAGTATACTCCGAAAGTAGAACAGAGTCAATAAATGTTCTCCAATTATACGAACCTTCTAAAACCCAAGTTGATAAATTTAAAATGAAAAGTGCACACAAGATCAAGGCACCAAAACTGTTAAGAACGTAAACTGATAAAAGGATGATTTCAAACAAAACAAGGTCTGGGATGAAGGAACAAGCAATTAGTTCATAATGCAACTTGAGAGACATGAAAACCTGCCAATAGAGTCCCAGGCTCAGAAGGCAACAAACAAGTAGCGAAGAACACTTTCCATTGCACTGTTATAGAGTTTTCTTTGCTGCATTGAACTTTATCCACGGTATCCATACAGAGGTGGTCTCTTGGTATCTGCGATAAGTACTAGCCCTGCTTGACTTCTCCAACATCTTTCTCTCGACTAAAACCGTCACATATGCAAGGCATGCAGAATTCACTGCAGCCCCTGCGGCCATCCAACCTTGCTGAAGATTCCAGGCAAACAAGGCTAAACCCCACCACCACAGCTGCTCACCCACATAGTTTGGATGACGTGAATACCTCCACACGCCTTCTTGTAAAACAGGGATGGGAGGGGCTCCGAGGTCTCTAAGGTTTTGGTTTTTTGACATGAACATATGAAGTTGTGTGTCAGCGAAGTAGGCTAGTACAATGCCTGTTGCACATAAAAAACATGCGATTGTGTCCCAGGTGTTCCAGGGCGTCTGTTTGGAGTGAACAGCATAAAGAGGAAGACAGATGCCGACGAGAAAAATCTGCACAGCATAGGAGCAAACGCCCATTTCCCTTCGCACATCTTAGTATTTGGTATCTCTATTGGCTTCCAATTATTGGTTTGAGGATTATTACTATTTGCTGATATTGTTCGACTCATGTAAAAGTGATTGGTAAAACAGAAATACGTAAGGAATTGGTGAATATCATTAGTCGTCCTGTGGCAAAAAGCATTGAGGCGAAAGCAACGGATGTCAGTCTCTACGAACCTGCTGTGAAAGATAGGCTGCAAAGAAAGACATCCACCACCAATGCTTTGAGTGTTGTTTTCGAAGCTGCGAGAATCGCCAGTCCTCCCTTTCACCCCATTGCCAATTCTCTCTGCGGAAATAGGAATGTGTCAAGCGGATACTCCAAACCCAGAGTAGGCTCATAACTGCTCTTGATCGCCACGGGTCGCTCTCGGCTCTTGGGTGTGTACGAAAAAAGTAGCCTATCATAACCGGTATAATAGTCCAATATGGGTCAATCAACTGCATCCATTGTTCACAGGTAAGTCAGGTTGTCTATAACTAAAACTGAGACAAGATGGTGAATTTCTAAAAGTTAAGAGTAAAAAGATGCCTAAAGAGACCGATGCAGAAAGTAGTACATCCAGCCACAATCGTGGTAATAGTAACACGTACCCAAGTGCTTTCCTGGACAAGGCTGACAACCCAAAATAACACACTAACGTTGAGAAAGAAGATGGCGTTGACAAGGCCCAAAGGAGAGTTTCTTCCCCATTCACACACTCTGCTCCATCGCCAACTATCTTCCTGCTTTGACGATCCATCAGGACAGCGATGCAGGAATGCCCACTGGAAGATGAATGCGGGTATCGCCACCACTACTGCCAGAGCTGCATTTGAAGTGTTCCGAGAGGTTCTCGAAATTGGGGAAACCGCCATAGTCCCTGCTTCGCAAGCTGAAGTGGACATCATCGCCATCAAGATGTCAATAGACGAATCAATTTGATGGAGCTACCCAATAAATAAAGTATCTGCAGCATTGTTTCTAAGCTTATGGAGAATTCTGTAGATAGGGAAGCCCCTGTAACTGCATTCAAAGAAATACTATGCGCATTACGGTAGAAACAGAGGCAAAATTTTAGGGTTTAAGAAGCACAGACATGTATCCTTTCAGCATTCCAAGTCTACTGGTTGCCCTTTCACGCAATCTTTTGTCCTGACTAGGTAAAGGCTCACAAGAAGGGTTGCAAAAGACTCGAATGAAGTGATCCTTCGGGTGAGATGATGCAAACCAGGAATTGAAGTGCATCACAACCAAAACTACAGAGCAATACTATACAAGGTCAGCGTGAGATCTACATGCAGAAGAAGAAAACCGTCTTTGTGACGAGAGAAGCGCTCTCAAGGACTAAACTAAATGCTCAAAAAATAGGAGAGCATGAACCCAACTAATGAAATCAAGACGGCACAGGAACAGAAGAAACGTGATAGAGTTCCAATTTCGGAAGAAACATCCAAACTTCGGCATACAGCCACATCTCTCGAAAAAAACAAACGCAATGTCATAGCACCAAAGAGTGAATATGACCAACCAGGAACAGGAACAGAATAGAGAGGGATCTGACGACTATCGTCTAACCCACTTCCAGTGCAGCAGTGACAATAGACTTAATAAGCTCAACAACACTGCATTGACAGTAGCAGTGGGGTGGATCTTGGGCAGCTCCAACAAGTAAAAGCCCACAAAAGAGGTGTCGATGGACCACACACAACTCCTGGTGACGATGGTGAATGCACTCTCTCCGTCGAAGTCGTGATCAAGCACCAGGGGATCCAATCCTTTCTCCCTGCAAACTAGCCAAATGGGACGAGTCTAGTGATGAAAATCAAAACTAAAAACCACCCATATTGAGGGAAAAAAGTGACCTTCACAAGTTGGGCATCACGATCTGGCGCTCCACGCACGATGAGTGCATCGGCATCATTCTCTCGCACATCTCCGAAGAAGAATTCCGTCCCTTCTCTCTCTCTCTCTCGCAATTCTCGCAGTGCCTTCAATTCCATCGCTTTTTGGTAGAATGCTGCTGCTGGAAGGGCACCCACCACCACGCCCTCGTGAAACTAACTCCCCCCCCCCCCCCGTCTCAGAATGCTGAATTTACATGGAATTTTCTATGTGGAAGATGTTTTCTCTGGAGACTATATATGTTTTTGTTTAATTGATTGCTTGTGTTATGTTTATTTTGTCTACTTGTTATTCTGATTTTGCTAATCAATATGTATTGTGTATAAATTAATATGTTTTACATCAAGAATCAAAAATCCAATGAGACATTTTGTAATATGATTAATTTGTTTGCAAGATTTTTCTTGATGATAAATGGTGGACATATCTAAATGGAGATTGTAAGTTTTCTTTTAAGTCAAAGACAATAATCAAAAAATATATATATTTTTAAAAATGGCCAGCATATCTATATATATATATATATAACCTTCAGAATGTAAATATATTTCATAAGGAATTGAATTAGTTATGTTTTCTAAAACAAATCATGAATAGTCTTAATTATTAATAATTTAATTTTATCAGAAGATCAATTTGCTTTGCTATCAGAACAAAGTAAGCATATTTTAATGCAAACTTTAAACAAAGATTTTATTTTTTAAAATATATATGAATTGTTCTTTTGGTATATTTAATTTCTTTTTATTCTATCATTATTTTACAAAATTTTGATAATCGATTCTCCATATCTACCATCTTTAGGCCATTTTTTATTAAAAATTATATAAATATTGATTGTAATTAGTATAAAAACTCTTTTTGGAATAAAAAATTGTATTGTATTGTTATTAACAGTTACAACTGCTAACAAAATATTTATAAAATTGTATTAATAATGAACAATAGTACATTTTAGATACTGCTCTATTAATCAATTCAAACATTTTGATTTTTTGTTTGTTTAATAATAAAAAAAACTTTTGTAATTTTTATTGTTATTCTTAAGATTCTATAGAAATTTCTAGAATTTTTTCATACAAAAAAAAGTCATAGTAGATCTTGTACAAGTTGGAATTTACAATACATTTTATACGATAAAATTTTAAATTAAATAAATAAAATCTAATTTATTTATTTATTTATCTATCTAATCAAACATTTCAAAAAAGTTCATCAAAATTTATACATCAGGATTGTATATATATATATATATTTAAAGCAATAAAAATATAAAAAAATTTAACATTATCTTTATTTCTTTTATAAACGCACATGATGCATTTTGTACAATAGTTAATAACAGTCTATATTCTTCAATAATTTATTTATATTTTATTAGAAATAAAATAAAATACTTAACTCAGCTATATTTTATAATTTATATATATTTAAAATAGAAATATAAAAAAATTAGTCAAATGATCCTAAGTATAATATTGAAATATCTAGTACGAAATTCAATGCATTTGATTCTACAAGATAATATTTTATAAACATTAAAACTAAAAAAATTAATTATTATTTATTATTTTAATTACTTTTTACAAGTCAATCTTGTAAACAGACCAACAATTTGAGAAATATTCATAAAAAAAATTAAATAGTAATTTAGAAATAAAAATAATGTGATTTTTTTTATTAAATAAAAGATTGCTTTATTTTAAAGTATGTTTCAAGATAGTCATTAAAAATAAAATAAAATAAAATAAAAATCTTATGGATTTTTTAATAGACATTTATTTTTCTATATTTGGTTATAATCTCAAATCTTTGACCTGTTGTAATATGCTATAATTATATTTAATATGTAATTTTTTACTTTTAAAATGAATAAACATGTATACACATGTAATATTTGTACAATTAGCCATTGTTATAGTGAACCTCTTGAGATTGAAGAAATTGTTGACTATATAGTGCAATTGATTATATTGTGTAGTATAGTGTAGGTGGTGTAGATTGGAACTAGCAAAATGGGTTGTCTGTAATCCAAAGTTAATCTTGGCAAGGTTGATTATAAAAACTCTTTATATATGCAAAAAAAAAAAAAAAAAAAAAAAAAAATCTAAAAATTCACAAAAGACATTATTCTTTAAGTACTGAAACTTAACTAAAACATGAATAAGTTTAAAAAAACATAACGCCAAACACATCTATACTTAGTTCAAAACATTATCTCCAATTCATGTCAAAATTTAATTGTATAAAATAATATGATTCCCAAAGATATATTTAAGTGTAAAGCTTAACTTATTTCAATTGGACAAAACGACAAGAATACATGATTATCATCATTTAGCAACGTGAATAAGATCAAGTATCCATGCAAGGTAATGTGCTCTCATTCATCAACCAATAACTTGGTTCTTTATCTCTTTTATTTCCTCTAATTCGCGTGTGTGCGAACAAAAATGCCAAATCCCACACTCGGTTCCAAATTAGCTTGTTAATTTAGGACCACCTTGACTCGCTCTCATCCACCGGCACCCGATGGCCGCTCCCGCGCGGCAGCGGCAGTTTCCAGTACATGAACCTTCCACAAGCGACGATTAGGGCAGCGCCGGACTCGGGGTTTCAAAACCAACCCTTGGTAGTGTGAAAAGCACGAAAAGGAATCTCGATTCCAAGTCGCAAAGGAGGGAGGGAGTGAGCGATAGCAGTGAAGAAGCATTTCGGAGTAGGGTTTTGATGATCGTGGTGGACTCCCTTCCTCCATCGCAATCGTGCATTCCTCGAGGCTCTCTTGTTGTCGTTGTTGTAGCTGTTTACTTGGTGCTGCATATGATGCTCTTCTTGTAAGGGCAGAGTAGAATGCAGCGATTGACAGTGTGGAGCCTCTGTAGGTAGGGCTCTTGCACGCTCATCGAATTGGAGCAGTAGCGGTGACGAAGAGGAATCATCCCTGGAGTTGATAGCGTCTCGTTTCGTGCGTGCGGTAGGACTCAGAACGGTCTGGTTTGTTTGTTTGAGAATTTGGTTAGAAAATTTAGGGAGTTTTTTTTTATTCCCTTGGCCATTGATTTCGCTGGCGGAGTTTTGGTTTCGTTGGTGGTAGTGACCACGGGGAAGAGTGGCCCGATGGGTTCCAGATGTTTGTTGTTTCTGGTGTGCTGCATTTTCGTGAGCTGGGCCGTTATTGGGACAGCTGTAGTACGAGGGGAGGAGTTTGAGGGGTTCTCGGAGGATGGACTTGAAAAAGAGGAGCTGGATGCTCCGTTTGTGGCGCCCGTGAGGTCAACCAAGACGCAGGCCTCGTCGGGAGGTGGTTCGAATGTCGATGAGAATGTTGGTTCGTCCAAGCAAGCGAACAAGAAGGAGGATGCGCGGAGCTGGAGGATGGATTCTATGGAGTATTGGGACGAGGACGAGTTCGAAGGATTGCCTGTGGAGGAAGAGGCGAAGGTAGAGAGCACTCCCGCTGCTTCTGCCGATAGCTTGGAGGAGAAGGTTTCGGGAACTGAGGATGCCAAGGAGAAGTCTACCAAGACGCGGAGCCTGTTCTCCCCTTATTTGGAGGTGTTAGGTGTGATCTTTTTCTTGATCTATGGGGTTGTGTTTTGGTTCGGAAGAAAGGAGAATGAGAAGATCGCTCTCGCGTGGGCGACAGAATTTGCAGGGACGGATGCCATTTTAGAGAAGAACTTCAGCATGATCGGTTTTGGAGATAAACCGGAAGCTCCCTCCTTGATTAAGGAAGGACAGAACACTTTCAAGTTCTACGCCAGTGGCAGAAGGTACTGCGAATCTCTTATGGCCACTCTGGTTCTCAAAAATCGTCAGGATCTTCTCTGTCGATTAGTATACCTCGTCTTTCCTGTCAAGGATGAAATCACCTTTCAAATCAACATGAACGAAGACGCCATGGAACCGGTCGTCTTCGCATTGACTCACAAGAAGAAGGCTAAGGACTCTCAGCGGGATTTGAAGGATCTTCAGCAATTCGCTACAGTTCTCAATACCCCTTCTAGCCGTAAGTGGGTCTCAGAAGATCTGGCAGTTATTAGCGAGTCACGTGAGCTCGCCTACGACCTACTACCCGAACTGCTGTTGGATCAGGTGTTCGGAGACAAGGCATTCAAAGCCTATGCACCCTACTTCGTCTCCTTGCATTTCTCAGATCAGTTCCCCGAATCCAAGCATAAGAAAGTTTTGCAGTTCACCTTCAACATTCCGTCTTTGGAAAAACTTACCGAGATGAAGCATCTGATCGCCCTGGTTCCGTACTTCATCGACATTATGGGGAGGTATAGAATGGGATCTGCTGCCAAGACTAAAGCGACCACAATTCGGGAGAAAATCAGAGCGGAGGAGTACAAGGAAGCTTGGAGACTACGGCAGGAAGTTCTTCAGAAAAAGAAATCTGAACAGCAAACTCCCATGTCAAGTAAAAAGGAGGAGAAAGAACGGTTAAGACAGCTTAAGAAAGCCATGCCTAAGGTCAAGATGTCCAGAGGCCACTGAGTTGCTGCTTGTACCTCTTCAATCTGCGAAGTCTATGCACCTCCAAGGCGAGATGAGTCTTCTGCTTGTTTTGGATCCCAACTGATGGTGAATGCGGAGGTTGCTCCAAAGATTTCCAGTATCTTAGATGCTCTTGTTTGAAATCAGTAACGCGCATTTCTTTCGAAGGGATTCTTCCAGTTGATAGTGTTTGTGGAGATTACGGCTTTTAGTTCATCTATCTTTGCAGAGGATTGTAGAGCTAACATAGCAGTGCAGAGTGCGTGAACCTGCGTTTATTTTCGGTAGATTCAGATGGTTGGCAGAGAGGCTTTTAATTTATCCTCAATTGGTTTTACATCCCGGATTGATATCTAGACCTGCTTTAAATTAGGTCAGTTAATCACATTCATGGTATTGCAATTCCATGCTTGTCACGAGTATGATTCACCGTGTAATAGTGCGAAGAATTGGTTTCTGCACCCCTAAGTTGAAAGTGAACGTCGGGAGCATGAATTTATTGACATGAGGCATTGTACCAATTGGGAAGTAGGATAGTATGTCATGCCTCTTTCAATTCTACTTAGATTATGTCGTACCTTTGAAAAGTCGTCACCGAACGACTTGGAAATCTCGATCTCGTCAACACATTATGATTTGATGAGACTTAACTAAGATGTAGTGCTGATGATCAAGAACGAATCTCTTTGAGGAACATTCCAACAGCACTTAGACATAAATTTACAATCTATTACAATCATATCTTGTTGAAACCATCGTCCATACGTAAACTCCAGACGGGTCTTAATTTCCAGGCACCAACGCTACAAAAATGGTTGTAAGCGCAGGACACCTGAACACACGATGGCGGAGAGAACTCATGATGAACACTACGCCAGAATCCAACAACAGATGTAATTTCCTTCACAACTTGCTAGACTAGCGCAAGTGTTAGAATTACCACATGAGCATCGCAATCATCCGAATCAGCTGGTTAACAACATAACACGATTAGATGAGGAAGCTCAACAGCGTAACACTTTTTTATTTTTATCACCATGGATATGATCACATCAATTTTTTCACTGAAGTACTACTCGTTGTGGAAGATTTGCTAGGACAGTCGATAGGCTTGCGATATATTCCCAGGTTATACCTTAGAATGCTCTTTTAACTCGTTTGGTATTCAGACGTTGTTAACGTAGACTTCCCGAGACCTTCGTGTGCTGCAAAGTGGAAATGACTCGCAACAAAGCACACTGAGCCAAGCATGTAATATTAAGTCATCGGACAGTGAACTTGAACTGAAAAGGACTGAATTCAACTACCTATCATTAATTAACTTATGAGATAAGTGGTCAGAGTGACCTCGGAAGAACCTTGAGTTGACAAGTTGACCTTAGTATTTGGTGTACCGCAACCCCGAAAATGTAACAAGAAATAATGCTCTGAATTGATGTGCATAAAAATTATCATCAAATGTGGAACTTAATCTTACTGCACAAACAAATAAAATTTCGATCCTAGGTTTTGGAGATTAGCTCCAAAAGCTCAAGGATACAATTCTATCTTTGCTTTGAATGAACTCAAATCGTCTACAACTGTAACATCTTTAAAAGAGTTTGCTAGCTTATCTCCCTTCTCAGATTTGGCATTACCCCCCCAAATATGGATGCTCAACTTGCGACGTCCAAGTGAAGAAGGAGAAAAATACTTCGTGAAGAAGTCTAAGATTTCTTTCTTTTCAATGGTCATTATTTCTGCCGCCTCCAGCTTACGTGCCTCAAACAAATACCTTTGATCCCAAATTTGTTCCCAGTGACGATCTGTCTCATCTACTAAAGAGTGGTCTCTCTCAAGCTTTTCCTCAATCAATGCTTCCTTGTAGTTGCTGAACTCATCATCGTGAACATCGCTCTGCACGACCACATAAAAAGCAAAATTCGTAAAGCAAGCTACGTCACAGATAACCCAAGAGAAAATCATGACCAACACAGAACTAAATGAAGATGAAAATAATCCCAATCACCCTTCAGGTATGCAATCGTACCAAAATCTGTGATAGAGAGGTAATAAATGCATTGATTCGCTGCTCCACGAACACTGGATTGTATTTGGCTGATTGCACTCGAAAGCAGAAGCCAAGGACCTTGTACGTGACACGGACACCGCAGTCGACACGATATCCCAACTGTTCTTTTGTTCTAAGTTGATTAAAGCATGGTTCATGGACCATTTGCTCAAACAGGTCAATAATGCCCCTAAGTCTTAACGACTCCTTTCCAAGATCTTTCTCCAGTTGAAAGTACATCTGCCACCCAACAAAATCAACAGCGTCACATACAGAATGCGTGAAAGTCTACATCGAACAGGTTCAGAAGCTACAATACAAGTTCGAACACCTGCTCAGGACACCTGGTAACTGTAAATCAAGACTATGACCCGATACAAATTCTCGTGTCATGTAGTGTCAAGATACGGTCTATTACCTCGACAACAGAGTTTTCCTCAGCCTCGTTTTTCACAGTGGCAGTGTGTAGAATTGCGCTGCCTGCGTCCAGTTTTACTATCCTCTCTACCGGCCTTGATTCAGCTGGCAGAGCAGTTTTGACTAAAGATTGCTTAAATATATTTGTAATACCAAGTGCTTCCTCCTCATACAGGTTTCCATGGCAGAGTGCTTCGATATAAGTCTGAAAACACCACAAACACCGAGATGAGAGTCACCCTTATATAAATCTCAGGAAACCACACATTCCTAACAAATTATACACAAATAATATTTGTACAACCACAAATCATAAGTCGCAATAGCATTTACCTCGCTGAAGAGATGAGGGATATGTGCCGACACATCAGCTACTGATAAGGATAACAGACACGCTAGCTTCTCATCAACAGGCCAAAATCGTTCCTTCAAGGCTTGCAACCTAAGATATGCAGAGTGTTTCAAGGGTTTCATATTCGTATTTCTGTATCCACGCTCCAAATCCTCTTTGATTACCTGCGTTTAAAACAGCCAGCTATATGTCAAGGACATCCATTTTTCAAGCAGTGAAGCCTAGAAGCGAGTAGTGCAGAGGCCAGTCAATAGATTTGCAACAAGGAGGATGAGACACGATCTGAAAAGGTCTCCACACTTGCAAATTTGACACGAAAATGTTATTAAAAGAGCAGCATTTGAGCTCAATAAAAAATGATTACACGTATACAGTACATATCCCACAAACCAGATCAACTACTACAAATGAAAAAGAAAATAGGATAATAACAATCACCTGGAAGCGATCTAGCCTGGGAACCAGAGAGGTAAGAAGCTCAGCGATTTTGCTAGCAAGAACTGGGAGCTTCTCATTAAAACCAAAGAGTTTGAGATCCAGTTTGTCGCCACTAAAAGTCATGGAGGACTCCAGCTTAGCTACATTTGCCTGAGGTCGAACAAAACTAAGTAAGCACGAAGCAAAATGCAATAGCCTGATTAACGAAAAACCAATCATAAAAAAAATACTAAAACAAAAATAAAAAAGGAGGGGAAAGAAAATGAATTATTCACGTTAAAGTAAGCCTGCACTCAAAAGAAAACTGGGATGATAGAAACAACATGGTTCAACTTAAACGAAATTTTCAACGAAACTCACCAGATAAATAGTCTCATTCAACTCGTGCTCAAGCAACTTGACATAAATCTCTGTCAACACAATACTCCGGATATTTTGGCTTGCAGCCTTGCATGTAACTGAGAAATAGGTGTTGGCACGAGGAGTATTGAAGGTTCGGTCTAGTTTGTACCACACCTTCAAACCTAGCTCATCCAACAGCAGCTTCGGAATATCTGGACTTGGGGCATCAGTTTTTCCTGTTTTAATGGTGAAATCATGTGGAATGAAAGCATTCACTACAGGCATGCTTAGGGCAGGATCAACTTGTTCAGGATTTGCCCACCGTTGAAGAATATCATCCGAAAGTTTCTCAACTGTGTACGGCACCTCAAACCAGGGCTCATACTGGATACCTGCGACTCGAACAAATTCAATATGAGTCACGGTCTAAAAATGGAAACATGACCTACAACAAGACCAACATATATAAACAACACACAATTTGCAAGTCCAGCACATCATGACTCACACAAAACAAGACACTTCTATGAGAGCTTTCCACTCGACACCACAGCAAACTCTGATCAACACCCATTAAAAAAATATTGATATGAAATAGGACATTTCTACAACTATATTTACCAAAATGGTAAACAGTCAAAAGGCGGCACAAGGTATTACCAGGACTATTCTTGTCAAAGTTCTTAGTCACGAGATCAAGGCGCATATTATATGGATTGACTCGATCAATGAGATCAGCCACAAGCTCCGGATCCCACTCCTCAAATGCATAATCTCCGTAAATGGTATGTTCCTCACGATAGATGTGCATGTTTGCTGGTACCACATAACAGCATGGTCAGTTGAAACTTTTAAACCGCAATATACTAAGCCATAGAGATTCTAAAATCCACACGTGTTTTGTGAAATTCAGGTGAGCAATACTAGATTACATTCCGACCAAAAGGGTGACAGAGAAAAGTAAATCATGTCGACAATAGAAGAGATAAGCATCTGTACATGCAAGGCGCACAACGTATTGATCTGCAGATTCTTCCTCAGCAAAGCGAAACTCCATCATGCCCATTGCTTGAAGCTCGTCAAATACCCATTTCTGCGGCCCAGTTGTTCGAAGCATTTTCACATACTGATAGAGCACTCCAACAACATCCAAAGCCTGTCACACGCATATAAGGGGCCAGCATGAGAGGCGTAGAACTTGTCGATTTATTTTTAGATGAACAATAGGTTACGCATTTAGTAAAACGTCAGGGAGGGGAAAATAAAAAAAAAAAGAAGAAGAAGAAGAAGAAGAAGAAGAAGAAGAAAGGAACCGTTATCATGATCATAAAATTGCTAGCTATGTTTTCTATGAAGAAAACGAGTAATACTTCCCAAAAATTTGTGCAAACTTAGAGGAATCTCAGCAATTCCGTTAGTGTACGAATTATGTACATGTGATCAAACCCAACTCGGTAGCAAATAGTGTAGGTATGAAAAATAAGACATAAAAAGAAAAACTAAAGGATGGATAAGATAAAAGATGTCAAGGCTCCTAAATTTACATGCTCAAGACCAGAATCGGTAAGCCAAATGTTGACAGAAAACATATAGCCAGCTGAGCTGTGATCATAGCCTCCCTCCCCAACCCCAGCTGAGAGCCCTGTTGCCCAACCTTTCGCTTTCAAGAGAGACAACAAACTTCCAGCGCCCTCTGCACATACGTCAATAATAAGTTTCAATTTGCGCAACACATGTTTGTAGGAAAAAGCAAGAGCCATACAAATCAGCACCTCCATATGGGTGTGGTGACGCCTGTTATCCACCAACAACGCAATATTCCTAACAAGACAATAGAAAAGTAAATAAAAACTGAAAATAATTTTCAATAATTTTATCATTTTGCTTAGACTTATATCAACTTTTTAGAAGCGAAGCAGAACAGGTCAATAACACTAGGATACAATGCAGTTCGAATAGAGAGGTTGGATGAGGAGTACCATGGCCAATTAAATGAGAAATATAGTCCTGAGGTTTTTTCAAATAGGCCGCTTCAAGACAAGGAAAGGGCCAAGTCAAAGCAATTAAGTGCTGATCCTTGACGGACTCAACTCGATAAAGTGATCCTGGTTCCCAAACAGGACCGTCCCAAGGAAATCTCAGAGGTGTTTGGCCACCGTCTTTCACCTTACCAAAATGCTCCATGACCCATTCCTTCAGTGTTTCCAACGGCTCTGATTCGTTCAAGCAAGTAGAGTCTCAGTAATCAAAACACAATGCCGGAGACTACGCGCAAAAGAATTGATAGTCTATAAACACCTCCATTGCAGCTTGAAGCAACAAAAATAGCATTCAAGTGGTGCCTGAAGAAATGCTTCTAAAGGCTCTAGGATCACGTCGGACGCGCATTATGGAGCTAGCCCAGCATCTGACAACCACAACCCAAAGGGAGAGTATATCCGACTCTAAAGGCGCAAGCACATACAACATGGCAATCAAGACCGGTGAGATCTTACCACTCACCTCCACCAAGGACAGTCAGTTTCATACGACTGGCCAAATAATGATCTTTATAAAGCTGGATAAGTTTACTCCTCATATCCACGCCTCTTTCCATTGGCTCGCTTAAGCTCTTCTTATTTCCTGTCAAACGAAATCCAGGATGAAATGAAACGCTACAATTTCTTAGGATGTGTGTCACAAGTTGCGCCATTGTGTGTATTAAATGGTAATTACATTCCTGTATCGTCCTTTAAGAATATTATCGCACCTGCTCTTTAATGCAGCTAACAGCTTGGTTGGTCAGTTTCCCTAAAATTTCACTTTGAACTTGGAATAAGTCCCGCATATCTATTCCTAAACACTAAGCTTGACTGCAACATGTTGGTTCATTTGACGACACTGAAATACTTGACCACCAAGAGCGTAAAAATTCGAGCATTCTGAGCAAAGAGTATATAATGCGAAATTAAGCTCACCCCATGAAAATGACCGGAAGGGATGGCCTGGTTTAGCAGTGTGGCACTGCAGCTGCAAGAGACGGCAAGCATCGCTTTGCAATACCTGCTCAAACTCTGAAAGAATACACTCAACATCACAAAACAGTCATTCAAAAGCATCCTCATTAATGTGAGGCATGTAGACAATGCGAAACCAATTCGGCAAAACAGATGAAGATAAACGATTTTGTTGTATCTGTCTCCAATTGTTGCTTTACACATAGGCTACCCTGATATGTCAGAATTAAACACTTAGCATATGCAGCTCAATGCTAGAATGACATAAAGCCCATAATACACGAAAGATTAATGTGGTGAGAACCTGAATCTATAGCCTGAACTTCACGATCCATAGTCTCCGGCTTAGCCAGAGGTGCGATAAAAAATTGGGAGAACCTGCAATAGAGAATTTGTGACCCAATTACCACTAGAACAACAAAGGAATTTAAGCAAAATGCGTAACGGGACAGAACAATTCCACCAGAACAATATAAATTACCGGTCAAGAGCTGGTTGTAAATGATTAGGGCTGACTTCGAAGTGATAACATGTGAATTCTGTATCCGTAAACGCATTTGAACCACCGCCATGCTTAGATAAGAAATTGTCGTACTGCAACCCAAGACAAACACAACCCACAAGACCTATAAGTAACAGCAAACTTTATTCCATTGCTCGCACTTCAGTCAGCATATAATAACTAAGAATATAAATGCTAGCAAGGAAACGCACTTGTGGAAAGTAAACAATACCTCATTTTCATCTGGAAACTTTTCACTCCCCATGAACAGCATATGCTCTGCAGAATTGGAAAGGTATTATTCGAAACTCGGGTAGTGATCATGTCACAGTATCTTAAATGCGCATATAAGATTCCTAGCATGCTTAGGTCGAACAAACGAACAGTACTTATACATACCTCCAAAAAGAATCGAACCGGAAACTCATTTTCATCCTTTGAAGGAAATTTACAGGGTCGTACAAACAAATGTTAGCGAAGTTGACAAGGCACATACCAAGAAAATGAGCCAAACCCTGTGCATCAGAGGGGTCCGAAAAACTTCCTACGCCTACACACATGGCTGCAGCTGCCTGCAAGCGCAACAAATCCAATCAAGTATGGTTGAAGAACGAACACATCAAATAAAAATGCTTCACGTCAGACAATAATAACAGATAACACTATCATTTCACCTGTAAACCTAAGAAACATTCTTATTCTCCTCCTTACAAAAAGCGAAGCAGTACCTTTTTAGTAGGCGCCTGCATTGCACCACCATGGGCACCACCATGAGCACCGTCGTCGTCCTCATCCTCGTCCGTTTCCTCCTCATCAACCTCGTCGCTCTCCTCATCACATCCTTCCTCACAATCTCCTACAAAACTCTTCCGTCATTGAGTTTATAATCTCGAATACAAAGCAACTAATGATCAAAATACATGTGTACTTTTAATCGTTGCATGAAGATATTAGCGTCATGAGTTGGTTTCCTTCAACAGTTTTATGGTTTGCTTCTTGATTAGTATTATCTTAGTATTTCAATTAGCTTAAGCAATCAAGTACCCAGTTGTGACCCTTTACGGCTCTGAAATGGTCTGCGAGCTACATCAAATTGAGGCCTAATCTTGGCGTTGGACTTGGATACAAAACCTGCAACAGCTATAACTCACCCCCTAAAGATAGGAAGAGAGGTTATTTTCTCAATAGATGAACATTGCCTGTAAGCACAGGCCTAAAGGGGCCCAGCAGATTTCCCCGATACAATTATTGTCGGGGTCAATTCTAAGAATCAGTATCGGTGTAGCCCTAAAGATCGATGAAGGCCATGTAACAACAAGACATTACACTTTCTCGAAGCGGAGCTACATATATTGAGTTAGATTACAACTTGAGAAAAGTTAACTAGAGAGACCTTAAAAGCAATCAATGTAGCTAACCCGGGAAGTTTAATCACAAACCAGACAGTATTTTGTGACGGAACGGCAGAACACCTTCCGGTGAATTGTATTCTAGTATTGAGGTAAAACTGCGGATAAAGTTCAAGCAAAATATATATATATCAATTTTGTTTTTTTTGTTTTCTTTTTACTGTTTGTGATTGCATCTTTAGAGAAAGATTGATATGCGCCGCCAAACAGTATGATTGAAATATCGGTGCATTCAACTCGTAATCCGCCATACCGTTCCTTCATCGCGACAACTTTGGAGTAGCAGAAATTGAGAGAACTTACCGTTGCTGCAGCAAGGCTTCAGCACGTGCCCATGATCCCGTTTGCGGCCTCTGGCACCATCCACCTCCATGCCATCACTGTCTTCATCATCATCGTCGTCGTCGTCGTCCTCTCCCTCATCGTCATCTTCTTCACCTTCCTCGTAATCCTCATGGTCTTCATCGTCATCGTCGCTGTGGTCATGGCTACAAGCACCCCCACCACAAGCGTGACTATCTTCAGGCTGCGGCCCTGACATAGCAGGATCGTGAATCAGCAATGTCGTCAATCCGTTCGGCAGCTTCAGCACTTGGTACTGCCGCTGGTCAGATGCGGCCTTCACCACAGTAGGCCCTTCCACAGACGTGCTTTCCATTCCCATGACTGCAGAGCCAACTAAACAGCACGCGATCAACCTCCTTTCTGGTGGAAAATCCGTGTGCAGCCCTGTGACTTGAACAGCGCCTTGCAATGAAAACCCTAAATTACCTCCTAACCTCTTGGCATGCACTAACTGGCATGAAAGTGACACAGCGAAGGGTTGGAGAGAGGATGTCAGGGGCATCCTTGGATGTGAAATGCTGCCCTTGAATGTTGCACTTCCGCCTCCTTCCAGTTTTCAAGTCAAGCCCTCTCCCGACTTCTTTCCCAAGGCTCTTCCTACACCGGCAAGGTACGGTGACTAAGCCCTACAATGCGGGTTATTTAGTGGATGGATAGTAGATAAATCCTAGGTGGCACTTTGTGTCAACCTACGTGGAGAGGGCAAATTTGGGAGTGAGCTAGGGCACTTTGAGTTGGTCAAGAAAGGCTTTCGCAGGAGGAGGTTGGGGTTTGAGGACTTGGGGGAGGAGAGATTTTGGTGATGGTGGTGCGGTTGTCGAGGTTGTGGGTCGGGGTCTGAGGAGAGCATCAAGATGAGTGCGAGTTGGCATTCCCTCCTGGTGCGAATTGGAGAACAATGTCCGGAATATGGAGGTCTGGCGGATGCTGAGGATCATGTGGAGACCTGCTTCGGTTATCTTGCGAGGGACTTGGCGCATAGCGAGGGTGAGATTCTGGCTCTATTGATGCAATGCGTAGAGGAGCTGCCTCACAAGGATCCCTTGTATGGCGCCCTAGTGGGGCTTATTAATACCGAGGATAAAGAGCTCGTGGGTAAGGTCATCAAACGTACCCATGCAGGGATTCAAGAAGCACTGGATACAGACAATTGCAACAAGCTTCGTATCCTCACCAGGTTTCTGACAGTACTTATGTGCAATAGCGTGGTGTCACCCTCATCGCTCATTGAGTTCTACGAAGCGCTGGTGTCGTCGGCCGCGACCACAATAGATGAGGATGGTGGTAACCCGACGTGGCAGGCGCGGGCGGACTTTTACGTTTTTTGCATCCTTGCCTCATTGCCATGGGGTGGCATTGAGCTTTCAGAGCGTGTTCCCGAGGACCTAGAACGTGTCCTGAACGGGGTCGAGGCTTATTTGAATTTACGAAAACCTGTAATGTACAGTGCCCTCCAAGTGTTTGAGAAAAGCGGAAGTCGCTCAGAAGATGGGGATGACACGGAGATGAAACCCATGGAGTCTGACGACTATCTGCAGTGTCTCTGGTTTAGCATCCAAGCGCTCATGGAAAATTCTTGGAAAGTAGATAGCGTGCCGCGGCCGCACCTGTCATTCGAGTCACGCCTTGTTCATGCGCAGACCCATGATTTTGATCCTGTCTCGATTCCAGAAACGCCTGCAGTTCCAGAGAATGCTACTGAAATCATGTTGGACAGGCAGCGCCAGGAAGCAGAGCGTACATATCCGCGCAGAAATATGCATCTACGCATTTTCCCCCTTTCGAAAACAGATGAGAAGATCACACCTATTGACAGGTTTGTGGTTGAAGAGTACCTTCTTGATGTTCTATTTTACCTCAACGGATGCCGAAAGGAGTGTGCAGCGTACATGGTCGGCCTTCCTGTGCCTTTTCGATATGAATATATCATGGCAGAGACGGTCTTCTCGCAGCTCCTGTTGCCTCCAAAGCCACCATTTCGTCTCATCTATTACACGGTAGTGATGGTGGATCTTTGCAAGGCGCTCCCAGGTGCTTTTCCTGCCGTAGTGGCGGGTGCAGTTCGAGCCCTTTTCCAAAGAGTCGCAGAGATGGATGTGGAGTGTCGCACTCGCTTGGTGCAGTGGCTATCTCATCATCTCTCCAATTTCCAGTTTGTGTGGCCGTGGGAAGAGTGGGCTCACATCCTTGAGCTTCCCAAATGGGCGCCAGAACGGGTGTTTGCGAAGGAGGTGCTGGAGAAGGAGGTTAGGCTGGCTTACTGGGAGAAAATTAAAGATAGTATTGCATCTACCCCAAAGCTCATTAAGCTTCTCCCTCCTAAAAACACGCCTGTGTTTGTTTATGCACCTGATAACAACACGTCGGCCCCCGAAGCAGAAGTTGCTCTTGCCACTGAGCTCACGAGTCTTGTGAGAGGCAAAAAAACTGTTCGTGAAATTCAAGTGTGGATTGATGAGCAGATTTTACCGACACAAGGGCAGCAAGCCTCAATTCAAATTGTGGCGCAAACGCTGCTATACATTGGGTCAAAAAGTTTTACCCACACTATCACAGTGCTCGAGAAGTATTGCCAAATCTTTAGAAAGATAGCACCCGACATGGGTACCCAGATTGCAATGATCGACACCGTCTCGCAGCTATGGCGGAACTCAGCCCAGATGACCGCCATTGTCATTGACCGCATGATGGGATATCGCATGGTCTCGAACTTAGCCATTGTGGCCTGGGTATTTAGCCCTCAAAATGTGCAGCAGTTTCATACTTCTGATCAGGTTTGGGAGATTCTTCGGAATGCCATTAATAAGACCAACAATCGTACAGTCGATTTGCGGAAGGAGATTTCTGCCGCTGAGAAGGTGCTGAAGCTTGCAGCTGCAGGAACAGTCAAAGCTCATTCGAAGTGGGAGGCGGCTGTGGCAGCATTGAATGCAGCTGAAGCCAAAAGTGAAGACTCCCGTAATTCATTGAGTGCCAAGGTGGACTGGGCCAAAACTGTAGCAGATAAAGCTCAAGACGAAGAAACGTCTGCACAGGATTCTTTAGAATCGAAAGGAGCCCTCCTAGATCGGGCTTTGCGGGAGCAGGAGGCCTTGTTTTTGGCCGTTTATCAAAGCTTTGCAGATCTACTAACCGATCGCCTCTCAAAACCCCTGCCCGAGCCTCAGGAGGTGTCCAATTCTTTGGAAGATGCTGAGGGAGAGGGCGCGGACGTCGAAGCACCGGTTGCTATGGAAGCCGATGAAGAAAATGACGAAGATGGCACCAAGCAAAGAAATCAAAAACGCACAACTAGTGCTGATCCACAGGAAGAAGAGCAATGGCGCAAGTGTACTTTAGGCTACCTTCGTGCCATTTCAAGACAGTATTGTGACGAGGTATGGTTGCTGATGGAAAAACTCGATTCCACTGTCTTCACTGATAAGGTTCACCCTCTGGTAACGTCGACAACTTACGCCGGTCTTCGACGCTCGTTGTAGTTGTTTGTACGTATCCCCTCCAGCCCATTTTATGTATTGTCGAGGTGCCGACATGGAGAGGATTTGGGAGGAATTGCCAAGAACAACCACGGATTACAATTGCACAAGCGACGTTCTTCCTATTCTTGTAAGTCAGTGATGTGCGAGCTGCAGACGAGCGGGTCATTCCATTCAGGTCCACAAAATTTTCGGAGTTTGATGCATGTTTGTCGTAGCTTGCAGTAACATGATTTCATGGTGCAAAGTTCATACTCTCACCTGCCGTCCCTTATTCGCATTGGAAGTGGAGGCTCACCTCCAGGAGTTTATTCGCACCCAGAAGTCTGGTGTAGCAGCGATCAATGTGTGACTCGAATTTTTATCATCTTACGCATCTTATGCCTCAGCACCTTAGAGAGCTCGAGGAAATTGTAGCAAACCAACAATTTTGTAAAATTCCATGTGCCTGTAAAGGTTGATTTTTTTGTACCATACGCTGAGTTGTACCTGAAACTAAGACATTTCGTTAGCAAGTTGGTGCAATTGGCAGAAGACTTCACATGACCTTGTATTACTTGATATTGGCCATGCTATGTATGATGGAACATCTTTCGCCTTGCGTTGGAAGTATACTGTTGAAGTGATGATTTTTGCGTGCCAAGATTGTCTAAGCAGCGTCGGTTAAATCATATTCGGCAGTAGTATTATATGAACGATGGGGATCAAAAGATTGGATTGAGCAGACTGTGAGAGCTTTATCAGGAATGGTTATTACCTAACCATTTCGCACAAACCCAAATCTACTAATATTTCGCGTCTTTGCAGGAAAACATTAGCACAGTTATTTTCTTATATCGAAAAGTAAATACTTTAATTTCTACTCTGCAGTCACCCGCTTAAACCTTGTCTATTTTTGATCTATTGTCCAGCACTTTTAAACAATCCAACTTATTTCTCCTACAGATTCGTTACTTCTTTTGTCCAAATTTACTAGTCTTACAAACTGATTTGTAACTATAACTTATTTCGTATCTGGTACCAACCTCATTACCTACGATAGTCTTGGAAGCACGAAAAGTGAACAGATAAAACTTAAATAAATGTAGACAGCAAGCTCACTACGTTCAAATCATGAGATACCAAACAAAATGACACACATCACAGAGTATTAAGACTAGGTTTTTGCACATTGTAGTGCCGAAAAAAACAGGATTGATTCAAGCTTCACAGTTCCACGGTAAAATGACATTAGATTGATAGTATCCCAATTTTATTTTATTTGGACTCACTTACATTTTAAAAAATGAAATAAATTCAGCTTGTGACTAGAATAGGATTTCAAGAAAAGGGCATGGAACGATTTCCAAGCTGTTTTAATGAAAACCCATGTTGAAACAAATATGAAGAATCGTTGGAGCGGGGGCAATCGTCAATAAGCCAGCGACTTTTTTTCTCTTGGAAAATCACGATGCGATGTCCTGATCGCCACCTCCACTCCAGACCAAAGAATCTATCGTTCATTCTAGCCAGTGCGCCTTTATGTCAATGGGTGCTTAGCACATTGAAACAATCAATCTAATGTACAGAATTCTTTTGTGCACTGTTTTCTTTCAATCAATTCCTATAGTTCTGACCACCGCAAGGATAATTGGCAACCAACGATCTTCGGGATGTAGACTTCGTAGAATAAAAGCAGCTTTTTCAGGCAACATGAATCGGCCACCCTCAAAGTCTCGGTCAAGGTGCACATGTCAAATGCGCATCTAGCTACCTTCCATTGTTGCGCTCATGAGCCTCCTCAATGATGGGCTCCGGGAAGGTGTCATTGGATCCAACCCTTCCGTGATGCATCGTGTACATTTCTTGGGAATTTTGAGATCTCGATGACGCCCCGGCGGTTGGTGCCGGATAGTTGTCAGTGGTGTCGATGATGGGCTTGCTGCTGCGTGGACCAGGGTTACCGCCTCGGAAATAGCCTGATACGGAGGTGTGGTGTCGTAAGCTTCCGAAGAGGGCGTCGTTCCATGAATTTTGGGAGGATGATCGGACTGCTGGTGACTCACAGAAGCTTTCATCGCGGACCACTTTGTGAGGATTCTCTAGCGCCTTCAAAACGTGCTTCATGTTGGGCCGTTTGGAGGGTTTGGAGTTCAGACAAGCCTTGGCGATGATGGCCATTGCCCAAACCTCCTCCATGAGATCCTCGTCGACTATGAGCGATGGGTCCACCAGTTTAGACACCCCTTCCTTGTCCTTAACGTTGATTGCGGAAAGCGCCCACTCCAGCCATAGGTGATTTGCCAACTCGCTGATGCCGAGCTTTCCAGACACGAGCTCTAATAGGACTGCGCCGAAGCAGTACACGTCGTGTGCGCTTGACGAATGACTATGATCTGCACTCAACGATGATCGTTACTTCTTTGTAATTTACAGGATTTCCTGGAGGATTTCCCACATTCCAACCAACCTTCCGGAAATCAGAAATTAAATGAGTTGCACGAGGTACGAGTGAGTGGGATGGAACTCACTTAGATCAGCAAGGTCATACGACGAACTGAGGTAGGCAAAACAAACACAACATTGAGGACCACCCGTCAGCTTCAAGAACAAATTCGTCCAAGAAAATCATCAGACTGAAAGAAAACATTGCAGAGCTAGATCCGACTACGCCTCATTGCGAAGAAAAATTCCTATCGGGGTAAACTCATAAGCATTAAAATCTGCTCATTTGTTATTATTACAACTCGACACACTTCACGACATGATTAATCTATGCCGATGGTGGTTTACCTGAATCCGAACATGCGGGCAAGGATACGGGAGTCTTGAATTCTGCAGTTGCTCAGACTTCCCAGCCTGACTTCGTACTTGTCGTCCAACAATATACTGCTCGCTCTTACATCACTGTACAGCATAACAACAATAACATCAATCCACCTATAATCGCTAGTGCCGCTAGAAATAATTGTCGTGCTCTTGAAATGCCCGAATTATGAACTGGAAAATGCAAACTCTCATAACTGGAATGGATTCTGCCTCGAGACAAACGTTCCATTGCTCGATGGTCAATGTAAAAGTGTTGCATACAAACCTGTGAAATATGGGAGGACAGCACTCTGAGTGGAGATACGACAGCCCATTCGCAGCGCCAATTGCAATTTTAAGACGTGTAATCCAATCCAAAGATAGTAGCACATCCTCCTGGCTGAGGCTGCCTTTTTTATGCAACGATGTTGCCAGGTCATTATTAGGGTAGTATTTGTACACCAACAATTTTTCCTCCTCGCGATCGAGACACGTTCCAAGAAGCGCCACGAAGTTGTTGTGAGACGCTTTTTCACAGACCTCCAGTTCTGTCAAGAAGAGGTCCCGCTTCACCCTGCGAAGATCCACTTTCTTAACGACAATAGCAGTGCCGCTAATTTCTCCCCTGTAGAGATCGCCCGAGTGGCCGGCACAAATCAGGTTGGACGATGAGAACTTGTTGGTGGCGCCTGCAAGCTGCGAGTAAGTGAACGATTGACGCTGACCCCCTACACCTGATATTCGTCCGCAGTCCATGGCGTTGTCTCTACTACGCCTCTTTTGGCAGCTGTGGAAGAAAAATACCATGACACTGACGAGCACAATCAACCCCATTCCTCCAAATGCGACAGCTAGGTGGGGAGCCAGCCGGTTTCTTGTCTGATCGTGGGAGAGATCGGCAGTCTCCGAAGCTGGGCCTACGTCCGGAGGTGGAATAGGGGAGTGGTCCGAATAATCGATCGGCGGAGTGGCATTAAAGCTATGTATTCCCAAACGAGCATAGAACATGGTGCAGTCGCGAATCCAACGTTGATTCCTCCCTTGCGCCAGGCAGTTCTTCCTCGTAATCGCTGACGGAAGAAACCCCATCGGCAATGTGCCGTTAAAGTAGTTTTCAGAGACATCCAAATCCACGAGCGATTGTTGCGCCGTTAGTTCCTGAGGCACAGGGCCATGGAATAGATTGTGGGAGACATTAAGCGTTTGAATCGCGGGTAATTTGAGCAGCCCACGAGGGAACACACCTGTAAAGGAATTGAAGGAAATGTCCAACCCAACTAGGTTTTGCAAGAGATCCATGGTCGCAGGGATTTCGCTGGTGAAGATGTTGTGATCAAGCTCCATGACGCTCAATCCTATGAGCCCCGTAATCTCCGCGGGTAATGATCCCGAAAATTTGTTGTTAGAGAGTCTCACCACCGTTAATCTATTAAGCCGACCGAGCTCCAGCGGGAGCGTACCCTGCATATTGTTGTTTGAAAGGTCCAGATAACCAAGCGCTGCCAGATTTCCGATTTCAGGAGGCACAGCCATGTTAAGCATGTTACCAGCCAAGTTTAGAAACTCCAAGCTTGGGAGGTTGAATGACAGCGGCGAAATTCCACCGGTGAACTTATTACTTGAAAGGTCTATTGCTGTAAAATAACTAGAGCTCAGGAAAGGAATTGAACCCGAGAAGGCGTTCATGGAGAGATTCAAGAAGCTAAGGTTGATGAGGTTACTGAACGTTTGCGGCGAGAGCCAATTAAATGAGTTCCCTGCAAGAGAAAGACTTCCGAGACGCACCAGGTTGCCAAAGTTGAGCGGAAGTGGACCTGAGAGAGAGCACCCAGAGAGATCCAGCGACTCCAAGCTCGTCACATTGCCGAACCATTCCGGAATTCCACCAGAAAATGTGACGTGGGAGGCATTCAAAACTCGAAGGAACGGAAGCTGCTGCAACGCCCAGACCCCTTGCAGCGCCAGCGGATTTGACTTAGCCGAGTACCGCGGCAATCCTGTCAACAGAATGGAATCGACATGACCATTGAGGCACTGCACCCCTCGCCAGTACGAGCATGGATCCTGCTGCGGCTCCCAGGCGCTGTCCTTCACCTGGAGTTGCACTCTCAACTTCTGCATTGCCACATACTCGCTCTCCACCAACGTGCCGGACATATCTGCGGCTACCCCTTCCGCTGCCCACAGCAGAATTGCTGAAGCATGCAGGAAAAACGGCACCAATAGCGTCACGGCCAATTCCAACCGGATGCTCATCCTCATTCTCCTTTAATCACGCTTCTCGCATTCTGTCTAACCCCTAACCTCTACCTGCGTCCCTTACACCTGCCTTTCACCTTCTTCCGACGATCCCCCAATGCCCACCAGAAAGCTCACACCGCAAAAACCTTAATCACACCACTCCGGCTTCTGCTCAAATTTACTGGATCCACCCACCTCTACATGTTCCCATACACATCTGTCGATCTCAAACTCTACCATACCTGATCCACAAACCAATGAATTCACCAAAAACCTGCAACCCGATCGAAAGAGTCCCAATCACATCGAAATGCAGCCGCAACACTTCCGAACGTCGACGACCCAGCTACATGAACAACGCCTTCCCCCAAAAACCCAAACCCCTTTGTGCATCTGCAGCCTGCAACGTCACGCTCCGTGACTAACTAACTGGCTGACAGGCCCTGGTTGCATTCTCAAAGCCAAGCGCCTGATCAGCCAGTTGGGCAGCAACAATTGACAGCAGTGGCAGAGCCTCTTGTCGATTGCTGCCTCTTCCTCCGCTGCTGCTGCTGCAGCATTCCCACCCCAAGGAAGCGCCGAGGAGAGAGTCCACGGCGTGATATCGGGAGGATGAACGAGTATATGTATGGATGACTTTATGGATGGATGCGCCTTCACTGCAGGCAGAGCGAAACTTCCTCTCCTCGGGACCGTCTCTCTTCTGCGCCAGCACCGCAATTTGGATGTATGTCGATTCAAAATAGGATGAATAATCGACTCCGATTTCTCGAGGTTCCGTTGTCTGTTCGTTGATATGTTTGAATGAATGTCGTTGCTATCAGTGGTATATGAATGACACTCGGCACACGGGGCTTTAGCGTTCGTTCGTTGGTGGATATGAATGGATGGATGTATGGGATTGTGGGATGAATGATCACTTTGAGAGATTCATTCGTTTCTCAAGTTGCGCAGGTTTAGGGTCTGGATTGAGTTCGTCCAGCGGCTCACACTTGGAAACCACACACGTACCCTCATTATATATTTTTATTAACATTCTTTGTTGTAATTTGATTAGATTGATTGCCATGATTAAATGGTTTTCAACCGTTAATAAAATAAATAAAAATTGGTCAAATGTGAGGCAATTTCCATCTGCTTTTTATTAAATGTTACTGTTCAATATTTTGAGATGTAAAACAATCATTTTAAAAAAACAATTAAATTTTAAATTTTAAAAATCCACTGATATGTATATATTCTTAAGATACTCGGTGGTTTCATCAAACAGTGATTTACAAAGCTGTCCGTAATAATCTCACTTTGCCTCAAAATCAATAAAGTTGACCAGAATAAAGATTTTTCTTATAGTTTTAGTTAAAATCACTTCTTCTTCTTTTTTTCTTTTTTTTCTATTTTTATTATTCTTTCAATTTGTTTCAGGCACAAAGGTGTGAAAGTAATCTAATCAATAAAAAATAATAATGTATTAATTGAAATTTCATGTCATCTTTAGTGTATATAGTATAAGATATGATGATCTTATCTAATATATTAATGTATAGATTAAATTAACATAACAAATAGCATATATTAAAAATTAAACTAATAGAATTTTACAATAATCAATTCATAAGTCTCTTAAAATTACAAATTATTCATTTAGTTATTAAATCTACATAGCAAATACAAATCTATCTATAGCATATTTTTCACAACATTTACACAATTAACATATTGAAAACATCTTCCATTTTTCTGTTTATTTTTATGTAACTTTTATTAATTGTATGTTAAATTACTATTATTGTATTTATTACTATTTTCCACTAATAGATAAGTATATACTTATCTATTAAACTTATATATATATATATATATATATATTTGGGATTGCACCAAAATAAATTAATTTCGGAACAATATATTTGACTTTTGAAAATACTACAATGTTATAGGTTTTCTTTTTTTCTTGCAATCACATATTATTTTTTAAGTTGTTTGTGAAAACTTTGGAATAAAATTTATTAGAAAAAATATTTTTAAATACATAGAAATTATAGTATTAAGTTAAAATTAGAGTATAGTAGAATATTGACAAAATTAATAATTGCTTCAATCTTGTTTTTATATACATTAGCTAATTAGAAAGTCATGCAAGACACTACTAAGAACCACAAGGCTTGTAAATTAAGTATTCAAGTTGTTGAATGTTTTTATAGTAGTTTTTTAGTATTTTAGATATAAAAAACTTTTAGTGTTTAATTTTAATTTAGATCTCTTGTTGTTTGTTACATAAAATAAGTGTCATTAATGTTTTACTTCTTATCTAAGTTAAATTAAAATTCAATTTTATATTTAATTTCTAGTTGGACTTTTAAAAAATCTAACAATTAAAAAATAAGATACTGTAATTAAGTATTTGTTGTTAACTTCATATTTTATTTAATATTTTATTTGTTTTCTATCTTAACATTTATTTGCATATAGATTTTAGTTCTATTATATATTAATATACTTTATCGTTAGGTGAATCATAATTATACAGACCTAATCATCAAATAACGTGCAAACTATTGCTCTTATATTATTATTTGATAAGTTCTAAATTCTTTAGTTGCCATATAGAAAACTTTTAATATTCTCAACACCCTAATTACAATTTCAACCACCAAGCTAAATATTTTTCCATATATTTATTTATAATCTATAATTCAATAAGATGCTATCTATAAAACATTTATAATATTCAATCCACTTCATTAATCTTCAAAAAAAATTCTACAATCAATCAATTGTGCACAACCCAAATGATACAAACAGAGTCTTAATGTATTATAATGGCGTACAATGCCTTCAAAGCCATGAGAATTCTGCACGTCGGTGATCTCATTTTCAGGTGTTATGTAAAGCATACCAAAGTCACTAATCAACCAACCACGGTATCATTCTTTGTTTCAACATGCTTCAGAACAACATACTATTACCAACGAGATATTGGAATCCCAGCCATATTCTCTACTTCCTAGTAAAATTTGTACAATAGCTTGTTGATTTCTAGCTACTGCTTGTTCTCTCACTTTGGTCCCCACTTCAATTGAGGACATTCACACGAATGATTTGTTCCATTCAAAGGCTTTTCTTTTTCTTTTTCTTTTTCTTTTTTCAATTTAGCTTAGTGATCTTAGACTCCAAACCATCTTGGCAGACATCTCAATAACTCGTTCACCTTCTCTGAAACTCCTGCTTCAACTGGGTCTAGAAACAAGTCATACTTTTACCTGAATCTGGCCTACCAAAGGTTTGCATCATAGCCGCACGCACACTCCCATGAGAAAAAAAACTGGAACTTCGTGCACGTTTTGTATTGGATGTAACACCAAAAATCATGATAAGTGTGTACTTCAGCATGAAATCATCTCATGAATAAATGAAAACGTAAAACAATGAATTAGGTAGCTTGTGCTTCTCCTATGTCCAAGCGTGTTTCACCGTCCCATCTAACCTCGATTACAATTACATCTCGTATGAGGGGCCTGGCCTACGCTCCAAAAGCTTTAAGTGTTACACCAACCTCGTCTTAGTACCGTGAATTCAAATACTGTGGGACACGGAAAGATCCCATTGGCACTCACTCACTATCGGTGAGTAAATTTAACCTCTCAATATGAGTACATGTACTCTAAAGCTCTTTCAGTTTCAGCTGACGAGCATGATGACCGTGCTCTATGACACCAGAAATATGCCTACATAAGAATACTCTTGAAAAGACAGTCATTTTAACACTGAGACTTGATACTCTCATTCAATCGGAAGCCATGCCTCGTGGTAGTGTCAATGACACTGGCGTGTAGCCATGCAGCACCTCAGACTCCATCTCATTCCTTGTCCGATTTCCCATATTCTAGGTCAGCGCCAGTTTTCAAAAGAGACACATCTTCCTCTCTGAAGGACGGTTCCTTCGCTTTAGTGATGGCCATCTTAGCTGCTGTAGCCTTAGCCACTTCCACGGCCCAACTGTACGTGATCATACCTACCACAGCCATGAACATGCCCATCATGTTCTTCCCGGTCAATGCAGAGTCGAAGAGAACCCATCCCAAGAGCAGCACGCACACAGTCTTCATGTGTCCCAACACCTATATCCACATGCAATTGAAGCCTCAGTACTGTATTAAATGCAGGCTTTGGTTCCAAGGAGGTTGAGATTCAGGAGTTAAGCGTTCAAAAATTAAATTTCAAACGCAGGAGCACGGTTGCAAGTGTTCACCAATACAATCAGGTTTCGCTAGTGTTACCAATACTCACCTGGAATGTCACAGCTGAGAATCTTCCAATGCACAAGTATTGACTCACATTGCAGAAAACAGCAAGTGTGCACGATAACAATATGAAGAGCTGTGTAGAAAAGAGAAATAAATAACGAAAGAAAGAAAAACCAACACCACCACAAAAACAAAAAGAACGTGTTAGTATCCAAGCGTGCAATGTGTTCCTGCCCAGTCGATTCCTGCAGTACAATTTGATGGAGACGAACTGAAAATGAAAACCAGACTGCTGCTTTACTGCTAAAAGCAAACTGCAAAGAACATTTTATGCTAAATGCCCCATTTGATGACCAAAATACAGGGGGTGAAAACTCTCTCAAATCACCACCTCAATGACATCTTCATTGATGAAATTAGACTACTATCGCCGGAGTGACTTACAATAGCTCCCGTGGAGTAACTGTAACTTAGCAGATTCTCTCCGATCAGCATGTAATCCACGAATGGTCCTATCAACAACAGTGATGCTGCCTGAATAGGTGCTGTCTTGCTCAACAGCTCGAATGAACCACAGCTGTGCTTCTTTTGTAACGCGCCAATATACTGCAACCACCACCAACATACATCAATTGCTCATCAACACTCTCAACTCTTATTCACTTCTCTCACAACTATAACAACTGCTACAAGAAAGAACCAACCCAACAACCAACAAAGACCGCTCCCAAAATAGCGGCTAAATCAATGAGCAATTAACGCTATGTTTCCAAGAATGCGCAATGCACTTGCAATTTGCTGAAGCGAAGTGGAGAGCACTGCTATTAACGCTGCCATGAACCCTTTAAAGTTCACATTCACGTCTGTCACCGTGCACACACCAACCCCGATCATCACAACAAAAACCGATATTTTCATTTCTCTCGTGTAAGTCTTGCCATGTAGCAACCATTCCAACACGCATACGGTTGGTATCATGCTCAATTTCGCAATCTGTGATGACAAAAACAACGTCCTTATCAGTCTAAATTCAATGACATAAATCTAATACCAGAAACTAAGCACCCCAAGTCATCCTTCAAACGACGCACAACCAAAGTTAGAAACACACTCACCTGGTAGAAACCGACTGAGTTCAGCATCAGACTTAAATTCATCCCAACAATCGATGTATTCGACACCAACGAGAACAAAAATAAGTCATTGAAGGGTACATGCTTCGACACAGAGTACCCTAAAGCAGAAGACAGGTATCCCACTCCTGCCGTTACACTGAAGTGAAATGCTGTCAAACTAGTTGCTGCACCAAATTACATCATCTTTAATCAGAAAAATATATATGTATATATATATATATATATATATATATTCAAGCACTAGTTGCAACTCGGTTAATAAAAACATGAAAAACATGAAAAACATGAAAAACAGTCTCCATTCTATGCAATGTACTCTCGAAAGTTCACACACACCACATTTCTGTATGCACACGTGGTAGTCTTCACTAGTAGAAGTGCTACGGAAGTTCGACCGTATGCGCCTTCCTTACCAAATCTATAGTTGTAGCCCGATCTGGACATAACCTGCTTGTTCGCCATGATGATCCCAACAGAACTGATGATGTTCATAGCCCATGCTCCCATGTCTGTGACTCCACTTTTCTTCTCGTCTTTTTTGTCGGATTTATCCGACATGCCTTTGAGAGAGTTCATTATGCCTACTGTGAAGTGAGGCTCGCTTATCAAGTTATGAGATATCGTAGGCGACAAAATGAATACTGATTTTGCGGCCTAGATTTGGCCTTAAGTCAATTATCAGCCACTCCCATTCGTTTGTCAACGTTGCATCGTGATAGTGAACGGTTTAGATCTAACCATGGACAAGCTTCTTGAAGTTTTACAATGCTATGCCTAAGGAACGAAGAACTTGCTAGCCCTGGTGCCGTGAAGCAGTCGGGTTGATCTCGAGCAGGGATTGAAATCAACGTCCTGAGTTAACACACTACTGGAACATAACGTTGCCCAATCTGCATTACAAAGAAGGCAGTGGTTAGTGACCTCGCTTTCTAGAGTCAGCAACTACGAGGTGTTGCTTCGTCAGGAAAAAAAATCTGTTTGTGAGATTGAACTTGGTTAAAAACATAAGAAACTGAACTAAGATTCTGCAAGCACTTACAACTACTTCAGCTAAAACTCTACTTTTAAAGCCAGCAATCGACCACGCCCGAAACTACAAGCGATGATGAGGTGCTACTACGTCCTGGAGATTTCGACAGTGTGGCACGCCAATCCAATATACACAAGCACCATCGTGGAGCACATGGTTTTGAGTTCGAATTTAAGAGGGTCCCCTTAAGTGCATTACAGAAGAAATTAAACCATCAAGCCTCGCAAGATGTGCAACAAAGATGCGCCTTCAGAGCCAGGATCTCCACTACTTCATTGGCAAACATCAGTCAGAAAGCTATGAGAACTGACTCTCTACCTTGAACCGAAACCCAAAAAGCAGCAACACACAAAACACAAAACCACACAACGCAACTACGATGCGATGTTTCAACAATAGTCCATCCTGCGCTTTCAATTCCAAACACCAAGACCAAAAACCCACCAAACGAGAGAGCACACTACAGACAATCAGGCCAGGGATCTACAAGGCTTCCACGCACAATGATGACACCATGGACTAAGGTGGAGCAAGTCGATACACCAGAAGACTCTGAACGCAAGATAGAAACCAGCGATTTAGTCTCTCAACCAAAATTCCAGGCTCTGCATAAAAGGCCCTCCAAATGGAACAAGACCGCACATAATCTGGAATTTAAAAGCATACAAATAAATACAGCAATGCTTCAACAGAGAGAGTGAGAAGAGCACCACCACGTCGGGGAGCTGCAATACCATGAGCTAGCTAGCCATCCACACCCTGGTCTCCTCCGCTTGCAAAAACTAACAGCAAAAGCCCGAGTTCGCAACCGCAAACTCCCTTGCTCCGCTCAACCCAACCCAACCAACCAACCAACAAACAAACAACACTTCCTGGAAGTATACGCATCTACATCGATAGAAATCCACACCTTCGCACACAAAATCACTAATTGACTGCTATCTGAAGAACCCAACTCATCCCATCCCATCCCTTCCGAGGCTCACACCTACCGTCACCTGCACACACACACCACCCCGGATGCGGCCCATGACCGCGCTACATAAAGGGAAATCCAAGACCCCCTCCCCAAAACCGCGGAGCTCCCGGCGATGGGCGGACGGGTCCTGGTGGCCGCGTCGATGAGGTTGTGGCTGCCGTGCGTCTCAGCCGCTGTGCCCGTGTGAATGGGGCCCACGGCTCTGTTCCTGATTGGCTGTTCTGTGTTGGGACTGGACGGTAGTGGAGTGGAAGGCACCGAGTGCCCGTGGAAATAGACTTGTTTTGCTATTAGATGGACAGTCAGTTTGCTGACCCAAATTTATTATTATTACTTTAATTGTAATTATTAGTGTTATTATGTGTATCCTTGCGTTTACTGCTTTGCCGTTTTCTTTTATTGGCCAACCTAACTCTTATGCATACTTCTAATTTTTTAATGTCCACTGGATATTGTGTAGTCATGAAATATTTTAAGAATTTAAAAAAATTATCGTATTGTTCTGCTTTGTAGTTTGCCTTGGATTGTGACGTTTTACTGTGTGTTTTTTTTATTTAAAATAGAAATCAGTTTACAATTATAAGAGTAAAAGAAGATAAACTGGCAAGATTTTTTTTTCAAATTTATACTTGTATGTATGTATACTCAAAATGTAAACTCCTTCCATAATTAGTGTTGTTTAAACTTCAACCTTTAAATGAATAAGTTCACAACATTGATTTTTTTTTTTTTTTTTTTATCTTTTTGTTTTGTTTTTTTTTTTTTTTCTGTAAAAACTTGCATGCTCTTATTTAAACATACTTTCAAACAAATAATTATTGATATTTTGAATATTTTATGAGCAAATATAGGATCTAAATTTTTCAGTAAAAGAATTCATTTCTGTTAAGAAAAAAAATGCACATATTATAAACTATAAATATCATTTTTTATTTTTTTATTTTTTGTTATGTTAGTGTGTAATTCTGACATGACCCATTCAATTCTTACATCAGATGCATTAAAATTTCATAACAATCACAAACATCTAAATCTATTTTTTACTGGTATTCAATCACTCATACAAAATTTCAAATCTGATGTTCTTTTGTTGTTTATTTATTATCCAACAATGCAAAAATCTACATCAAACAAAAATCATTACCTTAAAAAGTTTACCTTCACTCGAAAACCAAAAGGTTCTAATCTTTTTTACGTTTTATCTAAGCAATGCATGTCATCAGAAAATTACAATTCGTAACATATTCCAAAGTATTTTCTTACTAGCATATGTCGAATCATGTAACATTTGTCAAACACGCAAAATCATGTTTTAAACAACATTGCAGTCATAGTGCTCCGAATTGTTAAAATGTAGTAGAGGCCATCGATTCTATCTGGTATAACTTCTACAACTTGAACGCGAAGCTAATGGTGCAATATTCTTGTTCACGCTTAACGATGCGAGAGATTGGACGATGGTGGGGTTGTATTACATCAACAGCAATTCTGTGTTTCACTGTTAGAATCTACTTGTTGCAGTGTTGCTGCCAAACGCGTGCATGCAGTTGGCGACTCATGACAATTACGTGGGTAGTTTTTGTAACCGACTCTGGGACACCATTGTTGTCATGTGTCTGCATGCATGCATGCACCAGTTACTTCAAGCAGGTGCATCTCTATCGATGCTACAGTATATTATCTGGACAATTCTAATTAAGGGCCACAGGCTCCAGGGAAGGTCCCAAAGTGCCCTCTCCAACGTCCATAAGCTTGTTGTGGTGGAATTTCATTGCATGCTTCAACTCGAACCCGTCGGTCACCAGTGGCCGATTCTCAGCGTACTGAATATATTTCGCTGATGTCGAAGGCTCAGAGGGGAATCGTCGAAGTTCACGAGTCAGACTGCCGTATGTTTTTGCAAAGATGTGCTGCCGTAGATCCAGACCGATTTGTTTGAGCACCTGGAGCACTTGCCGAGTGTGGCATGTACAATTAATGGTGCAAGAGGCAATTAAGGTTCAGTTGTGTAATCTTACTTGTTCGCCATGAGTGTGGCCCGAGTAGCCAGGCATTCGATGGTGACCTCGGTTCACTTGGTAATATTCCGGGCCAGGGGTGTCCAACTCTTTGCGCAGTTGGAGTTTGGTATGTTTGTAGGGCAGGTCCACTAGGGACATGTGCATGGGAGCTGTGGTTCTGGCAGGACCGTCAGTCGTCTCGACACATTGTCTACACCGGAGCATCACGCTTGCAACATCTGTGAGCTCATGTGACTTCCGTCGAACTCATTTGAGCGCAATACCACCTTATTCACGCAGCATGAAGCAGGCACTCTCGTACTGTGCATACCACGTTAGTTGCCACTCCGACCTCCCCCTCAGCTATCCCTTCTCGAGTCAAAGCTAGTGAATCGGACAAGGATATGCCAGGTTCACCAATGTGATAACACTGACCTTCAACAGAATCTAAATTCATTTGCATTTGACTGCGATTTTGTAAGCTTATGGTTCTTGTAAGCTAGATATGTAGACGGACAGGCCGTCTTAAGCTAGAAGGTGGGGTTTGTATTCAGAAAAGCAAGCGATGAATTACTTTTCTTGTGAAGGATTTCTCAAGGGAAGCAGAGACGGACCTCAAGCTCTCCAAATCCACCTTCCCAGACGAGCCGCGAGTTTCCGGCGGGGCCTCTCTCAAGCTGCAACGTCACAGAAGTGCCGTGGGGTCCGTTTTCTCCCTGGACCGACTAAGCTCGGCGTGGAAGCCAGTACCGCCTCCTCCTGCTCTATTGTCCGTGCTCTTTGACCACCAGCGCACAGTCAAACACCGAACCCACGTCAACAAGAGCTTGCAAGCATCACGACACATCACATGGGAGTACCGTCAACACCCCATCCTTACCAGGTGGATTGCGCTGCGGAACTCTCCTTTCAGCAACGATTCCGTGATCGCCACACCGCTTCTCGAAGCATCCGAATACGAGCGACCCATCACGTGGCATGTCACGCCAGGTATATGGTCACTGTATCCTGGCATTGGACCTTCTTTCGCGATCCGCACATCGGTAGTATCTGTTCTACGCGCCATTAACTCACACATAAGTAATCTTTTCACCGCAGCTTCAGATCAGTCCTCGCTGCTTACTTCGACGCAGACTCTCCACACAATGGATTCCTATAAGAGACCAGTTCTGACAATTAACCACACCAAGGTTGCACTTTTATGCAAGATGAAGCAGGAGAGAGAGAGAAATGAAGTGAAATCCAGAGGCTGTGCTGCGAGCAGATGTAACAATGAAGTGGAGCAGTGTCTGTTGGATCATCATCCCAAAGCACTACCCTGTCGCCTCCAATGCCAAATCATGCACCAGTAGTGCTGCCCCTTCACCCCCAAATCATGCGACTGTTGTTGCATCCCACGCTTGAATCCTGGACACACCACTGAAGATTTAGCCACAATGCAGAATCTTCGGTGCACTCTTCCAGGTGCATACTTTCTATTTATAAAAGTGTAAGCCTATCAAAGAACAAATTATAAGAACGGAGATTTTATAAAAGGCATGTAGATTAATTGTAAATCCACACTAAATAACTAAGAGCACAACTGCAATCCGGATGAGGTTCAAGTCTGAATGGGTCCCGGTTTCACCATGTATAAAGATGAATGATAAAAAGATTGTATAAATTAATCTATATATTTTTCATCCACAAAGCCCTAAACCCTGAGGCCAAAGCGCTCCTCATCCTCGGAGCTTCATCACTCTCAAAGCAAAACACTCTTCACTTCTCTGTCCTTCGGGCCTGGTCAAATTGCGCGCAATGGGGATTGTGTTGGAGCCAATTTAAGTCGCAATCGAAGCTGTAACGTCTCGATTTTAACTTCGAGACAACAATGTCGAGTTCCTCGGACGAAGACGATGAATTAGATGCCGCCAAGTTAGCAGCACTTCGTAGTGTTGCCATCGATTCTTCAGCCGTAATTCAAAATGCCTCTGCTCCCGTGCCGTCGCTTCGGAAGTCGGCGAACTCCGGGAATGCTTCTGTGAATAGCGCAACCGATTCGCGAGGATCGGAGGAGGACGGCAAGGATTCGTCCGGGTTGAAGCTCTATCAAACTCGGGTGCGTTTTTCCTTGTATCGCTTTCGTCATTTTTTATAGTTTTGTATGTTTTTGCTGTTTGATCGATTCCAGAGGTTCTTTCTTTAGCTCAGCATCCCACATGTGCCATTTGAGGGGACTCATCAACAAATTCTGAGATTGCTAAGACTCGGAAGTATGTACATTCAGCAGATAGGAATGACTTAGATATTTATCGTTTATCTGCAAATCTGATGGCTCGACGAGTCCTTCCTAACACTGCTAACGTGTGCAAGAGAGACTTTTGCTCAGAATAGTTGTTTTTTCTTTTTTCTTTTTTCTTTTTGCAATCAAAGACGAGAATTGAATCCCTTGCATTTGGAACCACCATACAGTTGCAAGATCTGTTGTACAAACACCTGGATAAAAAGTTTGGGGCCACTACTGGTGACGTTTCTGTCACGAATGCAAAACCCTCACAACCTCCAAGTGGAGACAGTATCGTGGACGAAGGTGGTAGGATCGGGGGCATTCGTCTCTTTCGTCGAGCACCTCCAGGGATTGTCATACAGAAGCGTGGTATATAGCTATCCATGTTACTTGATCCGAGCTCGCTGATTGGCACTGTACGTTAACATATTTAAATTGTCATTTGAGTTCGAACTGTCAATAAATGTCAAATGAGCAAATTGAATGAACAGTTCTCATCTGGTTTTGTTCTCTGGTTTTGTTGTTTTGTAAAATAGTTAGTTAATTGTTGAGGAGCAGGCATGCAATGCCTTACTTAAAAATTCTTCCAGCCTGAGCTCATCGTGTATTGAGCATACAATTCTTGAAAGGAGAGAGATCAACCAGATCTTATCGAATAAATATTTGAACGACATTTCACTTTTTCCACTCCTATATATTCTCAATATATGCTAAGCAATCACTGTTGCTTTGGGTTATGTTTGCAGAAGAAATCGTGCCGAGCCTAGGAGTTAAACCTAATCTGCGACCAAGTCTGACGTTAGACGAGGACTCAGAAGAGGTACTCTCTTAATGTGAAATTTTCGTTCATATATCAGTGTGTTTGTGTATATATATATTTATATATTTTTTCGTTAGAGCGATGAGTGCCGTTCTTGGCAGCTAATAGCTGATGGAAGAGTTTTTGGAACCGATCTTAGTGCTGATTGCTCTGTTTCCAACGCCACAACAAGTTGTCATGTCCTTTGAGTAGTCCCGTCCTTTTCACATCCCTAAGCAGTAAAGGTGCTTCTTAAGTAGACGCAACGTCTAGTCTTATAAATTCTGAAACATGATCTTTTACTTTGTTTTTTTTTTTTTGTCAATAGAGGATCTTCGTTTTCAATCTCTGCAGAGAGAGAGAGAGAGAATGCAAATGTGACCCTTTGCCTATGTCCATGCAGCATCTGGTTCGTTTGAGAGCTACAGTTGTCGACACCGAAACCGTAGAAGAGCAAGGCAAACGGTGGAGAGAAAAATCACTAGCATCAGCTAAAGCTTTGCAAGAGAAGGCGGGACTGGCCAAAAAGAAAGAGGAAGAAAGAGTTGCTCAGCTAAAGCGGGAAAGGGGTGAAGAATGGCTGCCAAGCATTGCTGCTCAAATTGCAAAGGAAGCCGCAAAGGAACCTAAGGTGCCAAAAGTGGATCCTGCAACCCTTTCAGAGGCAGATGGTGCGAATTCTGAAGTACCTCAAAAGAAGAAGAAGAAGAGAAAGAGTAAGGCCTCACGGAAACAACTCGGAGTAGTTGTAGACTGACAGTGTCCGAACATTTACTTGATGCTCGAAGTAGTTGAGGATGGGTTGCCAAAATTGTTAATTTCCTGCAAACGTATCGTGTTTTCAATCCTGCATGAAGATCTAAAATCATCCGCGTGTTGTGTGGACAAAGGAACCCCAAGTCACGGAATATCTTTAGAAGCTGTGAACCATTTTTGCAACTGTGTGATTGCATCCACTTATGTCAGCTCCATCTTCGGTGTCATGGTTGGCCGATTTTGGTGGATATGTTGATACTACATTGTAATTTTCCAATCACTCTAAATTTGCATGTTGCCGACGTCACGCTTATTGTGGTTGAAGTACTCATACGACGTCAGAGTAAATCCACTTCACATGCATTCTGCAGGGAAAAGGTTGACAACATGAAGTTATCTGAGAAGACGTGATAGTTACACAGTATGAATGTTTTTGAATTGTAAAAGCTCTATGTCGTTCGAACTTTTGCGTTCGAGCTTTCGTATCGTCATCCGGTATTCAATGCAGAATGATCCAGAGAAAGATATGATGTGTGGAATATTATTCTTCCAGCCTTAACGCCAAGTTCTGGCAGCATCTCTGGTGAAAAGGGGGACTCGTACCCGCATACCCAATGTCGTTTAATAAATGAGGGATGGTTTTCAAAATCCTCAGGTCTTTTTTCAGAACCACCGTGAAATGAAAACTTCATATCAAAATGGAAGACACCGACGTTCAATCTGCGTATACGCTCCGTGCATGATAGACCGTTGTTGGTGGCCGCGTACCAGGCTGGAATTACAGTAAGATTCGTATGACAATGGGAATTGAAATTATACAAACCGAAAAGAACCCACCTCAAGTTCTGCACTGCTCATCACGAATTCAAATCCCCCCACCCCCCCAATACCGCAAGCAGCTGAGAGAAAATGCCTTTCAGCTCTCTCTCTCTCTCTCTCTGTCGCTCAAACACATACAGGTATGTATACATACATCGAAGCGGCACGTTTCAATGCCGAGTTCGAGTTCAAACAGGTTGCCGTGCGCCGATGTTTGAAAGCCGAGCGAGGACTGAGACGGACTCATATGCCCACGAACAAAAACCCAATGGCGGTGATGCCATGAACGAAAACCTACGGACGAAAAATTGTACTTCCGGCCATGTTCGTCGGGCAAGGCCAGTTTAAGACTCGTGCATGACCTCCTGCAAGTTCTCCAGCATGACCTTCTGTTGCTTTTAAATAGATAATAAAAAGTAAAGAAAAAGTTAAGCAGAAACAAAATAAAATAAAAGTAAAATAAAAAACTAAGTAGAAACGAAGAAGAAAAGGTGGGTGAGATTTCATATATATATATAACATTAAAACCAAGAAAAAATGCAAGACATCCCAGTACTTCGGTATATATATATATATATATAGATATTGAAAAATCATACCAAAAAAATGAATGTCTAGCATTGCATGTACATGATATTGTTTACCACTTATTTATTTATGTTATTATTGTTAAAATAAAATCATAGATACTTGGTACGAAATACTCTCATCTTACAATTACCTCTCGTTTTTTTCATTTTTAGAATTACAACTTGAAGTGAGAGGTGGCGTGGAGTACAGGACTCACTCACACGCTCATTTAGTTGGTTAGTTATTTATTTTTATGTGGTTGTGTGTGTGTGTGTGTTCCTAAAACCTGCATCAGTCTCAGAGACACAGAAAGACGTGACGAAGAAGATGCTCCCGTAAGAAGCCAGTGGGCAGAAGAAGATCTCCACCATTTTCTCTTTTTATCTTCATCAGGCTCAAGTCGGAGGGAGGAAGGGAGGAAGAGAGGCAAGACGAAGAAGACGAAGAAAAAGGAGAAGAAGAAATTAGCAGCAGAAGCAGTGCCGCCACAACTCCAACTGGAAGTGGGAAATAGTATTGCGAAGGGAAGGGTAGAGAGAGAGAGAGGGAAGGGACGACCTTTTCCTTAGACCCCCCACAACCCACCATTTCCTTTGCTTTGCTTTGCTCTGTTTCTCTTCCCGGGCTCCCGCATCATTCTCTACGCATCAGCCCCCTCTCCTCCCCCTCTCCTCCCCCTCCCACCCCACTGCTACTCCCCAGTCTCTCTTTCTATCATATTCAAAGAGCCCTCTCTCTTTCTCTCTGACTCTCTATTTCTACCGCTCTTTAGCTATTGTTCCATCGCTGTTGCTCCTTCCTCCTCCGTCCCTGGCGCTGCCTATTCCTCCCTCCCTCTCTCTTCATCTGCCTTTCTCTCTCTCTGTTTGTCTGTCTGTCTGCCTGTTTCTTCAGCTAGGGTTTCCAGCTTCCTCGTCTGCTGTGCTGGAACCCGCATCCCACCGCTTCCTCAACGCTTCCGTGCTTTTGGTGAGTTGGGTTTTTTTTGTTGTATATTCAAGACGGATTAGGATTCTGCCAGCTCGTTTTGAGGATATGGTGAAGAGAAAGCGCAGGTGTTCTAGGGTTCTGAAGTGAGGCTGCACTGTGGTGTGGTGTGGTGGGGCGTTGTTCGTTATCTCGGTGAATTTTGGGGTTCCTTGTTTGTGTTGTCATGTGTGGATAATGAGGTGATTGGGATTTTTTGTATTGTTTTGATAAGTCGAGCGATGTGTTGTGAAAGGTTTTGGAGTGTCGGATGAGGTCAAGTTGGTGTTTTTCCCCTTCTTGTCTAGTGAGATGACTTTGTTGTCACCCTTGGACAACCTATAAAGATGTTGGAAGTTCCGGGTTAGGGGGTGGAGGGGCTTTCAAATGTTGTCTTTGCAATGAAGTCTGAATTTTTGGAACCAGTTCTTCAAAGATTTCACAATTTACACCAGTTGTTCAATCGTTTACTCGTTATTTTCTCTTTTTGGGGCTTCTAAATTCCGTCAGTACCGCGATTAGCTCTCGCTGAGCTTCGTGGAAGTTTGGTGGCTAACTTACTTGACAATAACTTGAATAATGGCTTGGTACAATTTTGCGGTAGTGGGTTTGAACTAGTAAATCAGCAATTTTGTTCGGTGTTAAGTGACACTCCGAGTTATTTGTATTTCAGTCATCTATGTATGTGACATAGTTTAGGTGAATCAACTGTAATCGTGTAGTTCTCGTTCACTCTGTTTTTCTCATTCAGTCACAATGGGTAGGCGTTTCGTCATGCTGAGAGTTTTATCATGTTCCCGTGTTTTGAACTGGGTTGTCTTAGGATCACAAGCTTACTTTCAGTTCTGTATTTTCAATGTTTGAGTTAATCTAGTTGACTGATTTATTTAGTAACTTACCTGAGTTCATATATATATATATATATATATATATATATATATATTTATTGTATGCCTGTGACAGACAGGGTCCAATCGCTTGAAGGTGGAAGAGCAAGGTGGATTTAATAACTCTAGGAGCAGCACCGCGTCCACGTCAAGGGTTTTCAAAACGAACGGAGATATTTACTTTTAGTAGACATGGTCCATGATTAGAGATGATATATTCGGAAGTTTCTTTCCCATAATTCATATTAAAAGCTTCAAGCTTTGACAATAAAGTTGCCTTCTATTTGGCTGTGGGATAGATTCACTCCAACTGGCACTTTCAGGGTGTTGGGGATGCAGGAGAATAGAAGTGGTCTATAGGTAGATGCATCTGTTGGTGGAGGAGTAAGGGGAATCCTCCGTATCTAGGAGTAGCGTGATATTGGCAGGCAAGCCATGATTCCGTGTGGTTCACCTCTTGCAGCTCAGATTGGTTTTCAGGTTGCTAATCTGAGCAAAGACAATTACAAATCTGTGGTTAAGGAGCTCTACGAGGTACCAACTCTTTCTGAAGCCAGGGCTGCCAGGAAGCAGAGAAACAATGTTTATGTGTATTTAGTGTTCTCTTGTTATTCGAAACATCTGTTGTGTTTTTCCTCGAGCTGACTTATACTCTACATGATGGGTTCTTGTTTTCCTAGTGTTTTTTCTTCTTTCTTTGCTTGTATTGCTGATAAACATCGTAATGCCTATGGGTTGCAGTTGATCAGTTATGGGCCGGATGGGAGTATCATTCTATTACGAAGTTGTCTTGAGCAAGTCAATTTGGCGGAGAATGATCAAAATCTGCAAGTAAAACTCGATCTGTTGGCAATTGTCATTCGGGATTTGATTCGCCAGCCCAATCTTGGGACTGTATTATGCGAAGCTTTGCAAAACCTTCCATCTGTTAGTGAAGAGTTTCTAGCTAATCTTTGCAGAGCGCTGGATCTATCTTTATCGGAGCAACTTGCTCTTGGGCTTGCCCTTGCAGACGCAGAAGATAATAGTCAACGTCAACAAGGTGAGTATAAGTGAGGATTACATGATGATTATATATTTTTGTCGTGTCGTGAAAATTAGTAATGGAGTGATGAGTTTTCGGTGTGAATCGAGAGTTGATGAAGTCTTGTGCGATAGCGTATTTGTTGAATTGGTGACACACTCTTTATCTGATCATGGTTGTTCATACGGAAAGTAACAACCTTTTTTTTTTTAAATCAATCTTGGATTTCTACGATAAATGAAGCATTGCTGAATGGACCATTCTGGTTTTTGTTGTATTCAAGAGTCGTTTCAAATGGAAGTTTTGGAGCTGTTAATTCTTTCTGTGGTCGTTCCTGCCATATTTAAAACATTTTTTCATGATCTTCTTTTGTTGAGTCTGCAGGTCAAGCATTTTTGGAGACGAAGGTTACGGAGTGGTGCCATACTCCAACGTCAGACCTTTCAGAAGATCTGATTGAAAGGATTTTATGGTGTTTGTATTCAAGTGAATCACTTCTGGAACTTCGATCGTCTTTTTTGAAGTCCTTGCATGCTTTGCAACCGTTTGCAGTCGATTCCTTAACGCTGACTCCCTTTCTGAAGGATGTCAATAAGGAAGTGGACTGCTTAAGGTATGATTATTTTCTTTTTCAGTGCAGTAATGATTTCTTTTACAAGTACTGCTGTGGAGGTTGAATATCAACGTAATTTCTGAAAATTGTTTACGATCAAGGCTTGCAGGCGGTGAGATGATATCTTTGCGTCGTTGATTCGTATAGCTATGTGCTTACACAAGCATCATTAGCCCTAATGGTTTTTCTCTTGCTGTGCTTCGGTCTAGTGCACTTCAACAGCCGTTTCGAATTTGATTCTGTATGCACTGACGAGTATTGATTTTTTTTACAGAGATTATGATGTAGCCAAGAAATCTGGATCGTTGCTTTCAGAAACCTTATTGATGGAGTTGGAGCGTGCGACTGACGTGGTTAGCTTACTAGAGGAGCTCGGGTTCGACTGCACATATAGTGTTGATCATTGCAAAGAGATTCTGTCACAGGGTGGTCCTCTTATAGAAAGCGACATTGCACGGATATTGGGTACAGTGGCTCGAACTGCGAAGGGTTTTGAAGAGGTTCAGAGCATACATGGGCCATTCTACAACTTACTTTGCAGTGGGGAGCCGATACCTTCAAAATTGACCACTTGGCACGTGGAAATTCTTTTGGGTGCCATTAATCAATTGGTGAGCTGTAGCTTGACACATTCTTTTTTTGTGTGGGATGCTTGCTAGCAGTTAGTTTTCTTTCGGTAGAGATGCTATGTAGTTATACTTTGCAGTCGCTATCTGCGACAGAAACTATTCTGTTCAGTAAATTCAACGAGGTAGGGTGTATAAATTGTTGCAACTTGGTGCCTAAATCATTTGGACATTGTAGGCGAGCTGAACTGCCGTATACTTGTACTGACTGGCAACATTAACGTATTCCCAGAACCCGAGTATGGATTGGAGTTTGATAGTGTCGAGTCTGGACTACGAGGGATTCTTCTTGTCCGACGAACACGCCTTCACTCTATTTATGACTATGTACAAACTGGGTTGTGAGGTGAGTTGTCATGTGTTCAATAATTGCCTAACCTTTCTCACTAGTTTGACGTATTATTTCGCCTGAATGGAGATTTGCGTGTGTGTATACAATCCTGGACTTGGTTCAAAACTCCTAATTTCTAGTACTCTTGTTAACAGGATCCTTTTCCTATCGATGCTGTTTGTGGCCGTGTGTGGAAGAATTATGAGGGTCAGTTATCTTTCTTGAGACACGCAATTTCAGCAACTCCAGAGGTTTTCACTTTTGCTCATTCGACACGTAAACTGGTATGACTCACCCACCTTTAATCGGAGTTTGTTATCGATAACTCTTCCGTTCTTATGCCCAACATTTTGGTAATCATTTTGTCACAATGCTGCACTTTGTAATCATCATATAGGTCTGAAATTAGTACAGCGGTTTTCACCGTAGATATTTTCATGGTTTTGAACCAGGAAGCTGGGAGTATGTGGACACTTAAGAATTCAAGACTCGTGCATAACAGTGATATCTGTATTCTTTCATTGTGAGCATGATTTTAGCGTTTAGTTCATGGTACATCTCATTTAACTATTTTTTTGGTTGTGAATGGCAGACGGAGACTCACGAGGGAAAATTGAAATCACCTAATCATGCCTGGCTTTCTCTAGATCTGCTTGAAGCGCTTTGTCGCCTTGCAGAAGTGGATCGTTCTGATCAAGTCCACGAGATTTTGGAATTCCCCCGTAATCACTGTCCAGAGCTTCTGGCTTTGGGACTTGTGCAGGTCAATATTGGTGTATCCTTGAAGGTATTACATTCTTAATTTTCATTAAGTTTAGTACGAAACCTCACGTTCACTGCAGAGTTGAATCGTTTTCGATTTTACGAATAACTTTGACAACAATTATCAAATCTCAAAAGTGTCTGTGCTTCAGTTACTTTTTGATTTGTTTTTGTGAAAACTTCCGCCTAATTTGGTTCGGTTTGAAAAGATTATATAAGATATCTTTTTTGCCTGCCTTTTAGGGGCTTCTTGGTCTTGAAGTATATTTGATGACATCTTTTCGTAGCTATCAAGCTTTGCAAAAGCGGCATCTTTAATGCTCGAAATGGGTTTGTACAGGGTTCCCAAGAAAGCTTTCGGGAGGAAATGCTGTCACTGGTACTTAGACCATTGTTTGCACAAATTAACCTTACTACTGAGGGTGAGACTGTTGACCCTTTATGGAGTAAGCTATGGTCCCTGAACTCAGATGCGCTGAAAATGGAAATGGTGAATTACCTCTGCTCGGGGGATCCCTCTGCATATGACCAGGTTACGCAGGTCTGCAGAGGCTTGAAGGTGATAAATCCTCCTTTTTTTTTGTTTGCTTGATTCTTTGTTTGTCTTTGTAGAGAAAACTGTACTTACATTCAGCCATGCTCTGTAGTTGTAGCTTTAAATGATTTCGAAATATGTAGACTACAATATCAGCTGTGAGACGATCACCCTTCCTCTGTTGCTAGGTTTTTACTTATACATCTGTCTATGTTGGGTTTACATATATGTGTCTTCATGCCTGTAACCCATGTTAAGAAGTTTAGTTCTCGTTCAACTGCTAGGTATGCTTTGTGGGAGTTTTTGTTGTGACTAAACATGTTTCTGATAGTCATTATATATGATGCACAGGTTTTACCTGCAGTATTGGACAGTATGCCTTCGAAAGTTGCACTCAAGCTTGCTGTGTTCGCTGCGAGAAAAGGTGTTTTGAACCTAGAGAAATGGCTGGAGGAAGAATTAACCATCCACCGAGACTCTTTTGCTGCAGTTTGCTTAAGTTTCTTGCAGAAAAAGAACTCCATGTTCGATGAAATGAATGGATCAATTGAACATTCCGGAAACCAGCTCTCGGATATTTCTGCTGCTATATTGAAGGTGAGGTGATTTGATGGGTATCCTTCAATGTCGCTCTGAATTACCTGTACTTAAGTAGCTGCTGCCGTGAAATGAGTATGTTTGGATTTGCTTGGAGTTAAATGACTCTTGTTTAGGGTTTAATAGCTGGTTCTGGGTGATGTGGTAGGATCACCTGGATGCATCTTGACATTTGTTTCTAGAGGCCTGAATATTGTAACCAGTGAATCTTGATCAAATTTCGATGCTCATTCTATCTTTGCAATTTTTGGCAGGTTCTGTACGCTGCCTCAGGTCTTTTATCTTCAGGGGATCTTGTGAATAGGATTGTCAGAGCCAGAGGAAGTGAGAATTTGAAATCGTTAGATGCAGGCCTGGCTTCTATTGAAGCATCACCACAAGAAAATGATGTCGATAAAGAGGCAAATTCTTATTTTGAACGTGTGTATCGTGGAGAGGTTCCTGTTCAAACTGTCGTCAACATGCTTCAGCAATTCAATCAATCACCTCCCAACTCGTAAGTTGTTTATCATTATAATATTTTGTTGCTTCGTTTCCTCTTAATTTTTTTTCGAATATATTGCTTGAATTGAGCTCTCGAAATGGAATACATCATCTCAACTAGAGGAAGTTGTGATACAAATTCAGCTTCATGGATGGTGTAGTCAATCTTTAGTTGTGATGGCGATTAAATACGTAGGTTGTGTGCGAGTTGACTTTAATTGGGATGCCGAAAGCTCAGTATATGTTTACCTTCTTAGAGTATGCGCTTTTCACATTTATCACCACTACATAAGCAGTTTTAATGTCTGATATGCTGATTTTAATTAGGATCCATGATGTTACATTATAATTTACTGTACAAAATATAGTTGATTGGAGTTTCTAACATTCGTGTGATTTTGACTGTGTAATCAGGCGTGAAAAGGCCATATTTTCTCGAATGGTATCTTGTCTATTTGATGAACTTCCTCATTTAAATCAGTTTCCAGAGAAAGCTTTGGCTGTTACAGCAGTTCTTTTTGGTAAGATATCTCTGCTGTAGATGAAGTGTATTTTACTTCTTAAAACAAGTGAGACAGATGTTTTATGAGCTGATTACTTTGAAACCATTAAGTAATATATTATTAATTTTGGGTTTCTGTTACAGGGTCCCTGATCAAGCACCAGCTGGTTTCAACCAGTACACTTGAAAAAGCCTTGACATGCATTTTGGGGGCTCTTACGAAACCAGTTGGGACAAAGGTAATTATCTTTCTTATTATTTATAGTGATTACGCTCATTCTGAATAAGTAAATAGGTTGTGCGACATTTTATTAGCGCTTCATCAGCTTTCAGTGATACATTTTCAATGAAGCTTATCCGACTAACATTGTGAAATATTGATCTTATCTTTTCTTCGTCACCGTCGATCGGATGACGCTCTATGCAAGTTTATTGCACTTCAATTTTCATTGAATTATGTTTTCTGATTTTTGTCTTAATGTGGAGGTTTGTTTTCCTTTATTTACTAGCTATTGAAATGATGTCCAACTGAATTAATGGTGTATTTCAATTGTCGTGTGTCTTCATGTCTCCAGATGTTCTCGTTTGCTATACAGGCGTTAGATTCGTTTCGCGAACGTCTGAAAGAGTGGCCGGAGTTTTGCTATCATATTCTACAAGTACCTCACATTCGTGAGGCTCAGAATGAGCTTGTGGACTTCATTATGAATATAGTTAAAGCGAATCATGTAGCAGATCCAAATTCTGTGAATGATTCTAATGAGCCGTCTGTGGTAGCACTTCCATCAACTGTAAATGCACCAAGGAGCGTTTTGCAGGACTCCCAGGATGAAATTTTCAACTCAGCGTTTGCTGCTGTTGATCCAGCTGGTAACAGGTTCTCAAGTTCTCAGTTACGGTATCTGTCTGGACAGGTATGTTTTGAGTTGTGCACGAGGAATTCAGATATTGAAGCTGTTCGTTCTATAATTGAAGGATATGGATATGTGCGTACAACAAGCTTTTGTTTTCTGAAACTATTCCTCATGTTTACGAAATGGTCAGTAGGCTATATTTTTTATGTTCTCTTTAGAAATGCCTATCTTGACTAGAATGCGTGACCTCTGTCTTTGTCCTCTCTTTCCGCTGTTGCTATTCCTTTAGTCCTAACATTTGCCATGTTTTCCTTATTAGGGTTTGGAGGCATTACTTCAATCACCCGCGGGAAACTTCCCTTCAGGGGCCGGGACACAGCCACAGAATGGCACTCAGTCTGTTGCACAGTCGAATTTGGATTCATTGTTATCGTCACAGGCAGGATTTCGGACAAGCTCTGAATCACCATTTCAATCAATATCCCGGACATCATCGACAACTCTTTCACAACATCCGCAATCTCAGTACTCCTCAGTTGAAGAGACGCCTGATGGTGCCAGGTCTGATGCACAAGTGATGCAGAATGCAACTACTTCAAACTTACAAGCCAATCGAGCCTCTGAAGTAGCGGTCTCACAACAGCAATCAAGTACGGAGTCAACCAATCTTTCTGCAGCAGCCCCTTATTTCCCATTCTCAGCAGCTCCAAATGGTCAGACGAACCAAGCTTCCATGCGAACAAGTGCTAGATCTGCAAACGTCTCAGGTAAGAGGATGATTGTGACAATTGTATACTTCGAAGTGTGATGTGTGGTTGAGCGCTTTCTCAGTGGCTTATGAAGTTCTGCTTTACGTCCTCTTGTAATTTTGAGTATGCAGAAACATTTTACAGCAAGCTTGCAGTCTTTGTAATTGCTTTGTTCGTGACTTTTTAAAATGTTTTTCGCAGTGATGGGTTTCATCGTCATTGTACACAGTAGACTAGTGTCCTAGTTTCTACTTTTAGCAGCTGTTATTAAATTTGCAATTTTTGCACATGATTTCGATCATCCTCGCTTTTCTTTACCATTTACGTTTGAATCCTTTGAGAATCTGGTAGGTTCACTCCGTACAGCTATTTCTGGATTTGGACATGCTCTCAATATAGAGACTCTTGTTGCTGCTGCTGGGAAACGAGACAAGCCTATTGAGGTAATTTGATAATTTTGTTAGACTTTCAGTGTACAACCACCACTGGCTGAACGTTTTTGGCTCGAGTGCCTGCTTGTTGGCAATTAGCATCTGATCACTGCTTTGCATACTGTCCGTCACAAAGTAGGTTTTGTGAACTTATTTTATTTTTGGCTCTGTTCTTCACAGGCACCAAGTTCAGAGATTCAGGATAAAGTAGCATTTATAATCAACAATATATCTTGGACAAATCTGGAAGCTAAAGCAAAGGAATGTGCCGAAATTCTGAAGGAAGAATACCATCCATGGTTTGCCCAATATGTTGTAATGAAAAGGTAAAACATAAGGCCTTTATTGTCTTTGTTGTTTCGTTCTTGTTCTGCTTTGTCGGGGCTTACTCTTATTTGTAAACCAACATATTACTTTTGAGGTGCAAAGTTCTTATTAATCATGATTTTATGATGATCATGTTTTGGTTGACAGAGCAAGCATTGAGCCAAATAATCATGATACGTACATCAAATTTTTAGACAAGATAGGTTCCAAGGAGTTGCACAAAGAAGTTCTCAAGACAACTTACGAAAATTGCAAGGTGAAGTCCTGAAACATCTTATAACTCATTGGCGCACTCTGATTTTTGAGCACAATAAGTATACGAAATGTTTGTTCAATATGCTCTTGTAACTTAGGCTTTTATTTGTGTAATTTGAAAATATTTATTGAACATAAGTTCTAAAACGATTTGGTCATGGTACTTGTGCTTTTAGTATGGACTCTCATTTCCTAAATTTTCTAGCTTATTTACCATTTGATGTCTTTGTGTCAGGTTTTACTGGCCTCAAACTTGATCAAGACTCACTCGGAGGAGAGGTCCCTTCTGAAGAATTTAGGAAGCTGGCTTGGAAAGTTGACCATTCGGCGGAATCAATCGTTGCGAGCTCGCGAGCTTGACCCGAAGTCTCTTATTATCAGAGTATATTTCATTGCTGGAACTCAGATTTTTTATCTCAACTTTGGAGTCTTGATCAAATTCTGTTATGTTTTTCATTGTGTAACATGTTAGAGTTAACATCAGAAACCTTAGAATCAGCATCGAATTTTGTTGGCTTACGGCTTATATGATTTCATTTTGTGCAGGCATATCAAAAAGGGCTTATGATTGCAATTATTCCTTTTACATCTAAGGTGCGAGTCGTTGAAACTTGTTCTATATCTTACCTATGTGAGCGGTTGATAATGTCGTCGAAAAACTACGAATTCGACCAGAAACGGAGGTTCAAACATGGATTAATACGTTAACCTGAGAAAACGAAATGTTTGGGGATTACAGTGTATATTTATCTTTTTTGCCAATGTGGAAATTCACAGGTGCTGGAGCCCTGTAACCAGAGTCTGGCTTACCAGCCTCCAAATCCGTGGACTATGGCGATACTCAGCTTACTCGTCGAGATTTACAATTTGCCTAACCTGAAGATGAATCTGAAGTTTGATATTGAGGTGATTTTTTGACAGGGACCTTTACAGTTTCAAATTCGAAATCCATTAGTTTGACTGTAATCTTTAGTCATTGTTGAGGTCTATGTACAGGCTTATTAGTTCAAGTCATGTCCTGACCGCCTTTTTGGTTTTTGTTGCTTTTGCTATATCATTCTTAATGAGTCCTATTTTCTTATATTTGCAGGTTCTTTTTAAGAATCTAAATGTGGATATGAAGGAAGTGAAGCCCTCCAAGCTTCTCGAGGGTCTGGAGCGTGAGGTGGAAGGGAACCCGGATTTTTCTAATAAAGATCCAGTATTTTCTCAATCACCCTCCCCAGCTTTGTCTGCCAATAATTCTTCACAATCGGTGACTGTTCCATCATTGCCTCAGCAGTTGGATATTCCTCCTGAACTTCCAATCCCCACCCAGCCTGCCACATCATTGGCTTCGTCGGTAATTTCACAGGTGTGTTCGTTGAATGCGTTGGTTCTGTAAGCAGTGGAGGTTATTTTTGTTTTTGTATTTATTTTTGTATTTTTATTTAGGTTTATTTATTTATATTTTACTTATCTGAAACATATTCTGTTGGTGCGTTTGCAGTTAATCGAGGAAGAAAGACCGTCTCTTGCTTTGGATCGCAGCCAGAATGGCCAAGCTTCGTCCATTTCATCCCAGCCATCTTTCTCGTCTAGTCAGGTGCATTTCCTTGTTTGTGACAAACGCTTTGTTCTATTTGTTATGGGAATATTTGTGCTTAGTGTGACTGATATATTATTGTTGGGCAGGTTTCAATGGCGATTCCTGATTTGACTTCTTATGTGGTCTTAAATCCGAAGTTTACTGGCCTTGGTCAACAGCTTCAGCTTGCGAGGTGCTTGCTTCAATTATCACTGTATTTTTTTATTTGTTTCGAAATTCTGTTAGGAATGTGCAATGATTCGTTAAACTCTTGCATTTTCTTATGAATTGCACTTTAGGATCAGCTTGAATTGTGCATTGCACTGGGACCAAACAGGATTAATTTCCAGAATCTTATATTATGTTAGATAGTGATTATTGTATCCGTGTATCATTTTCTTTATACTTAGGTAGAAAGCATCCTTTTATTGCAGGATTGTGCCTCTGGCCATGGAGCGCGCCATTAGGGAAATCATATCTCCTGTGGTAGATCGAAGTGTGACAATTGCTTGCATGACCACTAGAGAGCTTGTTGTTAAGGTTTGTGCTATTTGTTTCTATTTGGTCTTTTGATTCTTGCATATGGATATAGAATGAATTGAAATCCTAGATAATTACGGTTTGACCTATTGTTATAGATAAGATTTTCTATGATCATTCTTACAGTGCCATGGGATTATATTTGGTTTAAGCCTTTTCATTTAAAGATTTCCGGTGTCATTTTTGCTACCTGCAGGATTACGCAATGGAAGCAGATGAAACTCGTACAAACCAGTCTGCCAATTTGATGGTAGCTAGTCTGGCAGGCAGTTTGGCTCATGTCACTTGCAAGGTACAACTCAAGAATCTTGGTATCCAGGGCTCTTGTCTTCTCTCTTTAGTATTAGAATTAGTAGACATGAGGAGTAGTTTTGACCACCTGTTAGCTATGTTTTTGGATGCTCGCTCATGTCTATTCTTTGAGTTGCCACGAGGTTCTGCTCTTCTATATTTACTTTTGTTATCGTAATATTCCATAGTTCTTGCCCCCTAACATAGTTGCATGTTAATGTTGCAGGAGCCTTTGCGAGTTTCCATGGCAAACTATTTGAGGACGTTTCTGCAGACAGCTCTCGCTCAAGATGTGCTAGAGCAAGCTGTGAATTTAGTTACAAATGACAATCTGGACTTGGGTTGTGCTGTGATCGAGAAAGCTGCTACTGAGAAGGTATATTTCCTAATTTGGTACATTTGATGTTAATTTTCAAGCTCTTAGAAGATTTTATATTTGCAGGTGATGGAAGTTAACAAAGCTATCATGTCGATGAATACGTTGTAAAGATATCTCTATGTTAAAGGACGGGCTTGCTATGGAATTGGACAGGCACAACGAGATTTAGAAGAAGTGATTGCTCCTGTACTGGCATTGCGAAGAACCGATAGATTACGCTTGGGTTCTGCCTATTACGATAAATACACTTACGCAAATCGAAATCTTAGTAGCCTTCCTGAGGCTCTGCGTCCAAGACCAGGGCGGTTGTCTGCTGCACAAGCACGCGTGTACGAGGTAAGAATTTACATTTTGAAATTTATGTTCGCGTGTGTCGGTTTTGTGATCATAAAATTTCTTATGGAATCTCGAATGAGATATTCATTACTGTCATCTTTTAACTTGCGCTGTATTAGATTGAAAACAATCGTGTCTTTTTTAATATGAATTGGATGGGGTAGGATATTGGAAAATACTAATTGGGTTGTCACATCAAGGGTTCTCACCTTTTCTAAAAAGTTCCGATGCTCTGCTGGTTGGCAGGATTTTGCACGCCTCCCCTGGCAAAATCAGCCCAGTCATACCCCTGTTACTAGCGCAAGTCCTCCGGGAATCACTAGTCTTTCGGGTAGAGGCATTTATGCTGTTCCGAGTCGCGAAGCTGGTGCCAACTCTATCGCCTCATTCAATGTGAATCAGTCCTCATCCGTACTTGGTGCAACCTCTCAAGTTTCAGATCTGTCATCTGATGAGCTTGACATCAGAGAACCATCTCCAATAAGGTTTGGTTCTCTACATGATGTCTTACTAAGTTTGACCAGACCTTAGTAGTGGATAGTGGCTATAAATCGTTATGGTTTTCAAGAACGTTCTTGTGCACTGATGGTTCAATATAGATAATTGGATATACATGTGATGCATGAACTCTAATCTCTCAGGATTGTGTATATTACTTTTCTGATTTGTTTTAGCACACTAATACCAATTGAGTTTTGTGCATTGTTGGATGCTCCAGTTTCAGTTCAACAGCATCTGTTGGTGGAGCAGATGGGCAATCTAGACATTCTTTGGAGACTCCTCTCCCCTTTCCCACATATTCCAGCGCATCAACTCCTCCTCCAGAACTCACTGCGGTGGAGACACCAAATACTTCGAAGGTGCGGTGCTGAATTCTATGTCTGGCATGTCAGAATGATCAAAATCTGGAATTGTAGAGTTATAACCTCTTCTGTATTTTTTCTTTTCTGTAGTGCAACCCTTTCTCATCTGGGTAGACGTCTGCAGGGTACGCTAGGAACCACACCGTCTTCGACGCCTCCTTTGCCAACCGAACATATTGGATCTACAGTACAGGAGCCATCTCTAACTACTGGAGAGGCCTTGGAGAAGTTCAGTTCAGTGGCACAAAAGGTATGCTCAACATATTTATTAGTAAAGGGATGGGTTATGTATTTTGACATGCTTAATGTTCTTAATAGGCTTAAGTTACGATGTCACGTTGGTTGATATTGCAATGAAATTCTAAGATGTAAACATTTGGATAGTAATACTCTTTCATATTGGGATTTGGTAGTAATATATTATTGCCGTAGTCGTAGTCCAGTGCTTTGAAATTGGGTGTGTGACGAGCTATAGACTCGTGGGATTTTCCCGCTATTTTAGGTCTGATTTGCAAGTAGTTGATCTACATTTAAGTGGCCCCTGACTAGTCTATGCTATTCATCTGCATAGTGAGAATTTTCTTCACTCTCGATTACAACCTGATAAGGTGGTGGTTTTTTCAGTTGGATCTTGCTCTCTCCAGGGCATCTTCGTTTAGCCCTTCGCTCCCGCTTGATGATGAAGTTCGGGTAAGAGTTAGCAGTTCAGACATTTTCTTATATTATATTATATTATATATATTTTTTACGAGTGTTCAGTCGTACTTCTATCAAAATAGGAATGATTGGGTCTTATATCTGATGTGGTTCATGCTTTGCAGGTCCCAGTAAATGAGGTGCCTGAAATTATTCTGCAATGTGTGAGTAGGGACGAGGCAGCCCTAGCAATTGCCCAAAAGGTCAGTAGCGAGAATGAACTTAAAGTCCTCATTTGTGCATGCGACTGAATTTATTTCATCCTTCGGTATTTTTGGTGGGTAGTTTCATGTTCAGAATCTTAAGCTTATGTGTCCCCTATTGGTGTAGTTAACTGAGTTATATTTTGAATCAGGTTTTCAAGCGACTTTACGAAAACACCACCAGTCAACTACATGTTGTAGTTCACCTTAGCATCCTGGAATCCATTCGAGATGTGTGCAGGAGAGTGGTCAAGGAATTGACTAGCTGGGTAATTAAGAATATGCCTTTGATTCGTACATTACGCATTTTGTTCATTTCAATTGTATTTAATGGCATTGAAAATTTGAGTACAACAATAGACTTGTCGGTCATTTTCTGTGACCGTCAAGTCTATGTTGATTGGTGCGTAACATCAGTATCCTGTTTTGTTCAGGTTGTGTATTCCGATGAGGATCGCAAGTTCAATCGGGAAATTACTGTTGGTCTTATCAGATCCGAATTAATCAATTTGACGGACTACAGCTTGCACTTGACAAAGTGGATTGATGGAGGCCGAAATAGTACGTATTGTATTTTTGTTGAACATTCTGGAGGATATGTAACTGTTATTTTTTTTTTTGCTTCTCCTTGCCCTTTGAGGTTTTAAGAGATAACAAGCTTTCTTGAGAATACCTAGTCTATCACTACCATAATTTCAGTGTAACGTTTTGTTGGCTTCAAGACGAAGTCTTCCTCGGGGTGTATTTATTTAGAATAGGAATTTATTTCAGACTGACTAATATTAAATTGTGTTGTGCAGAGGATGCCGTTGATTTTGCTGCATACCTTGTGAAGACGTGTGTCATAGAAGAAGCAGGTGTTACCAGCACAGAATTTTACAACGTGATTGACGCTCTTGGCAAGGTGAGGTTTAATCATATTTTTCCACTTTTTCCCAGGTTTCTCTGGGAGTTCAATCGTGGTTTAAGTTGGATCAAAGTTAATTTATCTTAGTACTTATTATCGAAGCTTCTAACGGAAATCTTTTTTGTATTTTGCGTCTGCAGCTTGCAGCACGGCCAGGCTCTCCCGAGTCATTGCAGCAGTTGGTGGAAATTGCGAAGGGTACGCCAAGTGCAAACAAAGATGAGAAAGGCCGGCTATCCAAAGAGAAAAAGGTGTGGGTATTTCTGCTATGTGATTTAGTGTAGATTATCTGGCCTAGAATTGAACTCATCATTGTGCTTTGACTGTGAATGCTTGTGAGGTAATCCCTTTTAGGGCTCTTTACCGAGATCAATATTAACGAGACTGGAATTGAAGGACACGTTTGGGACAATTTTCAACATCTTAATTTTTTTTTTGTTATTGCAGCTTCCATCCAGTCGCAGTGCGGGACTCAGAGACGATGGCAAGTCCGGTATGCGCGAAACTGCGGATCCCCCTGGACTTCGGGAACAAGTAAGTTGTTCAGATTTGCTCTTGAACTATTAGACCGTCTCAGATTTAATGAGATAATGGATTGAAAAATGTGCAGGTGATACAACGAATGAATGCATTATGTTTCTCCACGTTTCGTGTCATTCTACTCTGTATTGTCTGCTTGGTTCAAAGGGTAGCATTATGTTGACAGATTTACAAACTATTCTCTATATTTGTATGCTTGATATAATTAAAAAACGGCATGAATGCACAAGTAATTAATCCTATACTGCATTTTGATTCCTAATGGATTTTTTCTCAAAACAGGCGACACAGTTTTTCCAAGAGTGGGCGCGTATTTGCACAACTCCTGGAGGACCTAACGAGAAGGCTAATTCGATTTACATATCACAGCTGCAAAGCACTGGCATGCTGAAGGGAGACGATGTTACTGACCGCTTCTTCCGTATTCTAATAGTACGAATGCATTTTCACACTGCTCTCGTTTTTATTTAAGAATCTCGTGATACTTTTATTCGTTCTCTTGACTCATGTAATGTTAGAGGCTTGCTATGGTTGTGTTCTTTTACCGCAGCAACACATTTCTGTACTGATATAAAACCCTTTTCCCTGCAATGTTCGAACAGGAATTGGCTGAGAGTCATTGCTTGAACTCAGAGACTCCACAGCCTACGACTGCTGTAGGGGAATCCAGGCAGCAGGGAGGGTCGACTATGTCGTTTGCTGCCATCGACATGGTTGCAAAACTTGTTGTGCTGTTGGTGAAGGTGCAAGCAACCCAAGATTTAAATCCTACTCCCTTTACATTCTAATTCTTGCCTAGTGTCTCTATTTGTTCCATACGTGGAATCGTAGTCATTATGGCTAGTTCACTGTCCCATGGCTCCATATATTCATTGTTTGTAAAGAGAAAGTGCTATTGTTCAATCTAAGTGGTTGAATTGATTAGATCTCAACAGTTGTGTGGACTTTTTTATTATGTATTCTTATCGTTTCTCACTAATAATGTGATTTTTGTTTTCAGTACTCATCTGAACCATCTCTGAACAAGGTCAACCTCCTTACGAAGGTAAATTCATTAACTGCACTCAATTCCATTCAACTACGAAATTATTCCAAGTATGCTCGTCTGACTATTTCAGTTAACGGCTTCGGTATTATCAATGTCACACTTGAGATATCTGGCCAATTCTTTTTCTGATACACTGGCGGCCTTCATGTTTCAGGTCTTAAATGTGACGGTTCGTGTGATGAAAAGGGACCACGATCGAAAAGCAGGATTCCACCCCCGTCCATACTTCCGTTTGTTTGTAACGTGGCTTTTGGATTTTAATTCGTCAGATTCCACCTTGGATTCTAGTAATTTTCAGGTACTGAGAGAACCTGGGCTTTTATCTTGTCCTGTTGTAGTTTGTGAAAGTGAGAGTCGCCTTTTCAGTTCTTGCACTTGCAATAATTATGGATGAGTTTTGACGAAGCTTTGTTTCACAGGTGCTGCAGGCCTTCGCGAATGCGTTTCTCGCCTTGCAGCCGCTCGAGATTCCAGGCTTCAGGTTTGTGTGGCGCTTCCTACTTTGTCAACTAGATATAATGAAAACTGTTTCAAGTCTGTCATTGTTTTCCATCTTTAGATGTGATCCTGTGAGGATGCACATGCATTGATTATTGATATTATAATGTTCCATTTCTGTGATTAGTTTCGCGTGGCTGGAGCTGATCAGTCATCGGACATTTATGCCAAAGTTATTATTGAGCAACTCGCAAAAAGGATGGGCTCCTTTCCAGAAGTTATTAGTTGCGCTCTTCAAATTTATGGAGCCTTATCTTCGGAAAGCTGATCTGAGTGAACCTGTAAGTATGCGTTAAGTGCTGATTTGAGTTTCTAATCATTTGTTTTCCACTCTATTCCATTTTGCTAAGGTTTTAAGCCACCTTTGTCAATATCTGTGTATGCTGGCAATGGGTGGCCTCTGCGCTGCCGTTTCACTGGGACTTGTGCAAATCAGTAGATTCCTTTGCTTCTAATTGTAATAATGAATATCATTATAGTTTGACGTCAGTAGACGTTGGTGTGGGCAAAGCATACATATTTTCTAGCGCATTTGGTGTACGATTAGTGAATGTTAAGAATGATGTATTTTAAATTATATATTGATCTGTAACCTGGGTTTGGCAGGTTCGGGTGCTTTACAAGGGCACGTTGCGTGTTCTTCTTGTGCTACTCCACGACTTCCCGGAGTTTTTATGTGATCATCACTTCAGCTTTTGTGACGTCATTCCACCGTCTTGCATTCAAATGCGTAACTTGATTCTAAGTGCCTTTCCTCGCAACATGCGCCTTCCTGATCCGTTTACTCCCAACCTTAAGGTGAGTGGGAGAGCCTCTGATTTCAGTGATTATAGTCTTGGTTCTTCTTAAAGCATGTTTTTGACTCTTGCTGGTCCATTAAATCTCGACGTTTTCTGGTATCTGGAAATCTTCTGAAGTTATTTGTTTATGGCGTTAGCACTTGAAACTAATTAATTGTTTGTGACCTTGTCTTTCAGGTTGACTTGTTGCCAGAAATATCTATGTCTCCGCGTATTCTCTCAGATGTAGAAGGAGCTTTGAAAGCGAAGCAGCTCAAGAGCGAGGTTGATGATTTTATCAAGGTATGTATGTCTTAGCCCTAACATTTTGACTCACACACTGGAAATAAATACTCTATACCGCGGCACCTTACATTGTATCTAACCTCTGCGTACTCAACTGGACAGAATCGGAATCAAGCAACACTCTTATCTATGGATTTAAAGGGGCGATTGACTTTGTCAACTCAGGAGGCTCAAGCTTCCGGCACACGCTACAACGTGCCTCTCCTTAACGCGCTGGTGCTTTACGTTGGAATGCAGGTATAGCAATTGCACCTTTTTTTCTTCTTATCTCATCAAGGAGTTCAGGGTCTTGATTGTTTTTGAAGTAACAGCAGCGATAGTTGTGTCATTTGTAATCAAATTCGGTATTCTAATTGAAATCTAACTTGTTTTTATTGTGAAGCACTGTGTACACTTCATTCATACTGCTCTGCCTTCTACAAGAGATTTAACTGGCACGTATTTTGATCCTAGTTCCTATTTACTTACATGGATTCTTTGGTATATAGGCTGTTCAGCAACTTCATAGCAAGACATCGCAGCAGTTGGCAGCACTCACGGCTCCTATTACTCACAGCGCTCCAATGGACATATTTCAGCGACTCGTGAATGATCTCGACACAGAAGGAAGATATCTCTTTTTGAACGCTGTGGCAAATCAACTGCGCTACCCCAACAATCATACATATTACTTCTCGTGTGTACTTCTGTTCCTCTTTGCGGAGGCTTCACTTGTAAGTTCCCTTCGATTTTGTACTGTAGCCGTTCACGATACCCAAGATACCAAAATATTTATCCACTATTCACCTTGTTATTCACGAAGAATCAAATTATAATTTCTTTTTCATGTTTTCTGTAGCGCTGTTTGCTACCCTAAGCTGTTGAGCATAGGTCAAATAGCTTATTTCTAAATTTAGCGAAGTTGTTTTGATCGACGGCACTGTGCGTTCCATAGAATTTATTCACTCAGTATGCGCAGTTTTAGGTACTGTTTCTTATTTAAAATGAGGGACTAATGCTAAGTGCTCACCTGCGCTTTGTTTTGCGAATTCAGGAAATCATTCAGGAACAGATTACTCGTGTGTTGCTCGAGAGACTAATTGTCAATCGGCCACACCCTTGGGGTCTGCTTATCACCTTTATTGAGCTTATCAAGGTACAGATGTTTCCTGATCAAGAAATTTGAAGCTGCATTTATGCAATATACTTCTAGTTCCTTACAGGATGAAACCATGTCGAATGTTAGATCCATGATTTGTCAGTTCGAGTTCAAATCAAGTTCATTTCTCCTGCATTATGTTCTAATATATGCTTTGTTTGTTTCAGAATCCACGCTACAGCTTTTGGACACACGGCTTCACTCGATGTGCTCCAGAAATTGACAAGCTATTTGAGTCAGTGGCCCGTTCATGCATGAATTCTACTTTGAAGCCCAGTGATGACGATCTGCCCGGAAACCTTCCAGCTGACGGTTTGAAAGGATGATCGCATTTAAGTTATTGGTTCCCACTTCAACAGATATGTACATACATTGACTGAGGAGCTGGGTAGCCTAGTCGAGACTTAGGGGATGGTTATAAGTCCCTTAAAGCCAAGGAGTACAAACCTGACACAAGGATAAATAAGTAGGTACTTGAGGTGTACGAAAGGTGGTGAGCTGGACAGCAAAGGAAATGAGAAGCTTAGGCTTATATAGGGTGCCAATACCTTCCATCCTAGCAGACAGGACTAGGTCTTCAGTTGTAGGCGTATTGTTGATTGTTTCCCTTATAGCGTAGAAGTTTTGTTGAAGAGCATTATGGCCAAATGGCCATTAGGCCAACTGTACATTGTTGTGAATTTTGAGGTTATTAACATTTTTATTAAATTTTTGCATGTTTTTCGTCTTGTTGGATCTTCCAGTCTTATGGTTTGGTTGATAGATGAACAAAGATGGGAAATTGTGGTGATAGTAAATGGGAGATTGTGGTGATAGTAAATGGGAGATTGTGGTGATAGTAAATGGGAGATTGTGGTGATAGTATCAAAAATTGTGAAAGCAAAGGAATATGAACAAAGTTCTAATTGCCCCAAAATAAATCAATGATGTACAAATATATATATATATATATGTTTATTTATTTATATATTTTTTAACATAAGAAGTTTTCCTTAATTTTGAGGAGGAAGACACAAAATTTCTAGAATATAGGTGAAGACTTTGGAGAGAATATTAGAAAGTGATTTATTATGATTGTGTATTTTGCTATTACAATGTCTAGTTTATTGTCTTCGCTCTTTATTTTGGTATTTTTTTGTATAAAACATTTGCAGACTTTTTCTTGTGTTTTGTGCTAGTTAGTTTTGTCATATTCTATTGGATGATATCATATTGCTAGTTCTATTTTTATTCTAAAACATGCCATATCTTTGAAACTTATTGAGATGTGTTTCATTCAAGTTGTTTATAAGTAAGTAGAATTCTATGTAAGCAAAACTCACAATTATTGTTGCTTCAATGACATATTTTTTATCTCTATGAATTGATAGCTATACTTTGTGCCATTTCAACCAAATCAACTTAGATTCTTATTTTGTTCTTAAGTTTTGTTTTTTTCAATGTAATTGCTATTTCAAAGAAAATTGGAAGAAGATGCTTATAAACTATTTGGTCTTTTTTATTTGAATTTGTAGGATATAATTTTAAGTAAATTTTCTACCATATTTTGTATTGTTTTCTTCCAAGATACATTAGTCAAGCCAAAAAAAAAAAAAAAAAAAAAAAAAAAAACTTTAGAATACTATTTTAGTCTTTGAATAGCATCATTAAAATGGATAGAAGCTTTGGTTGTTAAAGGGCCTTGTTTTTTCATGAATCCATATTTAAAAGTAGTGGATTAGATAAATTCCTACTTATAAGATTTTTTTAAAACATGAGGCTTTTCAGATGTAGATCCTTTTTTAGCATATATATATATATATATATATATATATATTTTAATACAATAAATATTTTAAACATTTTCTACTTTGATTTTTAAAATTTTATTTATCTTGTATCTTTTAATATTCTTTTAGTATTTGGAATAATTAAAAAATAATCCATATATAGTATCCACTTAATAATAGATGCTTATTAAAATATTGATTTTAATGGATGGAAGACCATTCTAAAGAATTTTAAACTAAGGTACTAAAATACTTCAAAAGATGGCAGTCTGAAGAGATTCTTCTATTGATATAACCTTGTATTTTTACTTTGAATTAACCCATGTTATAATTAAATAGATTCTTTGACATACAACATACTCAATCTTATATATATCTTTGGATTAGCAACTTTTGAGGATTAAATTTTAGGAAGTAGTAATTAATCTTAGGTTTGTTGATCTTCAATACTATTACTTAGTTACTTGTTAAAAAACTTTTAATTCTAATATTTTTATTAATTTATAGAGTCTATCCTTTATTAATGCCTTTGTAAGCTCATCAATATACATGTCTTTTGTAGCACAATATTTTACATGTATTATACCATCTTCAATCTTTTTTGTTATGAAATGTTGTTGAACATCAATGTATTTGATTCTTAAATGGTACTTTGGATTCTTTGCAAATACAAGACATCATTGACTGTTACATATAATTAGAATTGAATTTAATTTTGCATTCCAATGTCTTTCAAGAGTTGTCTTATCCAAAATGCTTTTATTGCACAATGGCTTGTTGTAATGTATTTAGTTTCTATAATTAATCTTGCAATGGTTGATTGTCTCTTATAATTCTATGATATGGTTTCTACTCTATTAAAGAACATACATCATGTTGTGGATCTTTTATTATTTGCATCTCTAGTTGAATTATAATAACCTTGCAAAGCAATGTTCTTACCACCAAGGTACAATTTGAAATTTTTTGTGATTCTTAAATACCTATCATAGACATATATATTTATTTAGATAAGAAGAGCTAGATAAAAAATAAATGTAGGTAGATTTGTAATTATCTTATGGTAAAACTTCTTAAAAGCTTTATAGACATGTATGACTTTATATATATTTATAGTTGATTGATAGGTTAGAAATTTGGCCAACAAGTTAGTCATGTGACGCACATGTAGGTAGCTTATAATACAAGCTAAAAATATGATGTGCATATAAGAAACTTACTTTGCAAGTTTTTGAGGGTTTTTCCAACAACTGAAGCTCTATCTAAAATTGTATCTTTTCCAATATCTTAAAGGATTTATCCAAATTGGATTCATAGGTGCGTTTCTATCTAGGAGTATTCTTTTTTAGTTTGCATCTTTGATGAAAAAGGATTTATAACTATTCTATGGTTTGAATTCATTCTTGGAAGTATTTACAGCCACATTTGGAGAAAGTAATTGAGAAACGATAAGAAAGACAAAATTTGTATCTTTACAAGAAGGATTGCATTTAGCCACCATATGTACTATTGAATTCTAAAACCTTCCTTGCAATGTCGATTTGAATGACAAGCCTTCATATCAAAAAAACTTATTCATTAAAGCCATAACCTATGCAAATTGATACGATCTGTTTCAAATCTCTTATTAAACAAAAAAAGATTCAATGTTATAAAAAAAAATGATATTTATATTGTAGAGAACCTAAGCATACTTCTTAACATTATTTAAAGAAGCAATATAATCACATAATGAGGAATATAGTTGCCAAAGAAGACAATGTGTCAAAAAATGAGTTTCTCTAACTACAATAGAAACCATATGGCTAGATTCTTGCATAATCGCTAATAAAGGTCCTATTCTTTTCTTAGATCTTTCATCTTATCTTATAATAGAAATTGATTTAGGACCACAATATCACAAAATCTTTGCCTTATTAGATTCATGAGCCTTAACTTGTTTTATAGATGAAGTTTTTGTTAAAAATAAGAAATATTTTTAGTTAAAAAAAATAAATCTATACATATAGAAGTCATAGATGGTTGTTTGTTGTCCTTTAAAAGCATTATGTATGAAATAGTTCTTTTAGATATAGCAACTAAAGATCATAATAGCTTAGTAATATTTAATGTGATTAGATCTCTTTTCAACCTAATTATTTTAGGATTATTGTAATTAAAGAAATATAATTCTAAAATTGACTCAATTTTTCATAATCTTGATTAATTTTGTAATTAAATCTAAGATTTTGCTAGTTAAGTGGAAATCTTTAAATTTAATATAACCATATCTTTATTGGTAGGTGTAAGAGCTTTCATGCATGTTGTGAAAGAAAGGTCAACTTTTGATATATATACCACACCTATTTTCAATAGAAAAAAGACTTCAAGTGATATTCTAAGTTAATATTAAAATTATTAAGATATTTTTGAGATAAAGAATGTCAATATTCTTCCAGAGTATTGTTCCTATGACTTCTATTGATCTTCAAAAAGAAGCTTAATTACCATTTGGACCTATCTATAGCTTATTGCAAAAAAAGTTGGCTACACTAAAGGAATACATTGATGAAAACTTAGCAAAGAACTTCATATGTCATTTTAAATTTCTAGTAGGATCTCTTATCTTATTTGTGAAGAAAAAAGATAAATCTTTGCAGATATTTGTAAATTATTGAAAATTCAATAAAATCACCATAAAAAATATATATTCTTTATTTTTGATTTCAAGACATCTAAATCAATTCAATTAAGTAGAGATCTATATAAAAATATATTTATGAAGAAATTATAATTTAATATGCATCAAAAAAAGATATAAATAGAAAATTATATTTTGAACTAGATATAAGTATTTTTAATATAATGTCATACCTTTTGGATTTATGAATGCACTAGTTATTTTTTAACATCTACTGAATGATATTTTTTGTAAATTTTTTGATGATTTTGTCATCTATTATCTATATAATATTTCAATTTACTCTAAAAATATAAAAGAATATGAATTTTATATTTATCATGTATTACAAAAATTAAGAGGTGCAAGGTTTTATAATAAGATAAAAAAGTGTGTTTTTTAAGGCATTCTTTATAAAAATAAATACATTAGACTTTATTATAGGTATAATGTTTTCATAGATGGGAGTAGATGATAAGCTCTATTTGTTAGCTTTTTATTCCAATTTTTTTTTAGCAGTCAAGATCAACTATGAAATCCTTTACAAAGAGCATTTTGCAATGATGGATTCATTTCAAGCATGGTGACATCATCTAGAAGGTGCTTTCAATTTCGTCATTGTATATAAAAATCACAATAACCTTAAATCTTTTATAATAGTACATGTTTTGAATTATCGCCAAGCCCATTGAAGAATGTTTTTATTAAGATTTGTTTTCAAGATTACTTATCAATCTGAAAAATAACAAGATTTTTTAGACGTCTTTTTCAAACATTCTTATCTTAGATCCAAAAAAAGAGATGTAAATATTAATCAATAAAGAATGATTCTCTTAAAGTTGAAGCATTTTCATCTTTGACCAATAAAATCAATATTGACTATTGATTCAACTTTCTTAAAGAAGTTCAATTGAATATGTTTTTTAATTTTTTTATTTATGATATTAAGAATAATTCTTCTAAATCTCTCAATACTTCTAAGTTTGAATTCAAGAATAATCTACTCTCTTTTGAAGAATGATTATATACTCCAAAAGACAAAGTATGATTATGTGTTCGTTAAGTTTATCATAATTTTTTAGCAATTAGATATTTTGGATACAATAAGACTTTGGAGCTAATATCCAAAGATTTTTGGTAGCCTTAAATGTGGATGACAGTCAAGGACTTTATACAATCATATGACATTCATTGAAGATCCAAAATTTTTCATCATCGACGTTATAGACTTTTTTAGCTATTATCTATTCCAAAAAAACCATGCTCTTCTGTTTCTATGGATTTTATC